CACTACGCTATAGGATCCCACGCAGATCAGACTGGGATTGCACCTTTTCTCAGCCATTGACATCAGGTCAGTAGATGTCAGAATGAAGCAGAATGGGAGAAAAATGTTGAGTAAACTAAATCAACAGTGAAAGCACTGGCAAGAAAGTCAATTTAAAAGTTGAGATTGATGCAATTCCCCTTCAGAGAGAGGTGGATAACAGCGAGGAGATACAGAGAGATGGATAACAGTGAGGAGACAGACAACTACTAAAGCAACAGGTGGTTTTAAAGGGAGGACATCTCAAAGCAGAACAGCAGAATGGTTGAGCTGGTGGGGGAACCCGGTTTTTAGTCGATTGGCGAATCGCTTTTCCGGGGGTAATAAGCCCTTCAAAAAGAAATAAATAAAATAATAATAATAATCATATGTGTTTACTGGGCAGAGGGAACAGATGGGACACGAGGGCACATAAGTTCTCAAACGATATGGTGGAGCGAGGTTGTGGAGGCGTTTAAACAGTGAGGGCGAGAAATCACAAATAGTTCAGGCCATTTAGCAAACCTTTTACAACTGGCTATAAAATAATATTGATAACTTTATCTGTGGAACACCATGTCCATTTTTTTCCATAGAGCTTGTTTGGGAGGAAAATCTCTATTTTTAACCTCTTATATACAATTCTATAGTGACTCACCCAGGAGACTTTGACACAAGCTTATCCAGGAAACTTTAAAAACAGAGGGTGTGAGAACAGTAAGGAATCATCACTCCCACCCTCACTCGCCTCCACTGGCTTCCCATCCCCCAGAGGATCGAATTCAAGATCCTCATCCTCACCTACAAGGCCATTCACGGCCTTGCTCCCTCCTACCTCTCCGACCTACTATCCCCCTATCTACCTGCCCGTACCCTCCGTTCCTCTGGCTCCGGTCTGCTCCACATCCCCCGCCCCAACCGCCCTACCATCGGTGGCCGGGCCTTCAGCCTCTCAGCCCCGAGGCTCTGGAACTCCATCCCCCAGTGCCTTCGCCGCCTCCTCCCTTTCCTCCTTCAAGGCCGGTCTCAAGACCTTTCTCTTTGACTGTGCCTTCAGCTCCCCTCTCGATTCTCTACCCCCTCCTCACTCCCTCCCTTCCCTTCCCTCCCCCTGACCATTTCCCCCCGCTCGTGTCCTGACCCAACTGTCCAGCGCCTTGGGACGTCCTCCCGATGTGAAAGGCGCTCTGTAAATGGAATCTTGTTGTTGTTGTTGTTGTTGTTGTTATTGTTAAGTCTGTAAAACTATTGTGCCTTTAAATGTTAAGACCTTTGTTCTGTTGTCTGATTGTTTTGTTACCTGATTATTTGGAGTCCTGCTTACTAAACTTTAAAAAGCGTGCTGTTTTAATTGTTCAAGAACATTTAGCTTTGAGGCACAAATAAAATTGTTTACTGTTTATTCTGTTTCAAATAAGAATAATAATGTTTACACTTCATATAGAGCCTTTCACATCAGGAGAACATCTCAAGGTGCTTCACTGAGTGTAGTGACACTCAGTTTGCCCACAGCAATGCCCCAAATAAAGCAGCTAAACATAAAATGCAATAGCAAGAACCACAACTTGCATTTATATAGTGCCCTTCACACAGGTAATGTCTTGGAGCATTTAATAGCTTAAGGAGAGTAAATGACCAAAGCAATCTGAGGATTTAGATCCACAAATCTCTAAAAGTAGCTACACAGTTAGATATGGCTATAAAAGGCCTTTATATTCAGAGGAACAGAATATAAAATTGAGGAGGTGATGTTGAATTTGTACAAAACTTTGATTGGATCACATTTGGAGTATTGTCCATTTCTGGTCTCCACACAATAAGAAGGATATAGCAGTAACGGAAAGAGTGGGTTTACTAGGATGATACCAAAGCTGGCAGGTTAGTGCTATCAATATAAACTGGAATAGGTTAGGCCTACTTTCACTAGAGAAGAGACTTTTAAACATAGACATGGGAGGCATTTTACGATGGGGGTGTGGGGGCTTGAAGCCAGAATTCAGCACACCCTTCCATCTGCAAGAGATATTTAAGTATTTAATTAACTGAAATAAACTCTTTAGCAATTTCAGTTATGTTCAGTTCATCATCTTCTGGCTACTTTGGCTCCGGATCTGGATAATGTTTTTCCTTTAGACATCTTTTTGTACCCATTTTATCGCCCACAAAATATACAGTCAATTGCCTTTACAGTATATTCTGTGAAGTGCTTTGAGACGTCCAGAAGATGTGAAAAGCGCTATATCAAATGCAAGGATTATTACTATATTATTATCATATACGAGGGCACGAGGACATCAGGAAGACTCAAGGGGAGGAGCCAGTAACCTCGTGAGAAGCTAGCCCTCATTGGCTACAGTAGCTGTCACTCACCAGGGAGGGTGGGCTCTGGGCGATGATTGGCTGGTCCAAGCTGTCACTCAGTCTCTGGGGAAGTCAATCATGAGGAAGCACTGGGAATTTATCAATTTCCACCCAACCAATTTTCTGTGGGTACCAATGTGCAAAAGGAAATGCAATACAGCATTAAAGAGTGTGTGTGGGGGCGGAGGGGCACATAAACATACTTCTGCCCCCCCCCCTCTGTTTTAATTGAGGGGGCACAGATCCCCCCTGCCCCCACCCCATTACACTACCTACTGCTTTTAAGAGGAGACCCAATAGAGGTGTTCATAAATTTAGAAAGGGTTCAATAATAGGCTGTGTCCACCAGCTGGGGAATATGCAATCAGGGGTCACAAATATCAGACAGCGAACAGAGGTTCAAAAAGAGAATTTTGGAAGAACTACTTGACACAGAGAGTAGTGAAATTGTGTAACTCGGACTACCTGAACCGATGGTTGAATCGGATCGTGTAGATGTATTCCAGAGGAAGCTAGACCTTCATATGAGGGAGAGGGGAATAGAAGGGTGTGGGAGGAAATAAGGAATGAGTGGAAACGTGTGGAGTAAAAACACCCAACACAGACTGGTTAGACTGAGTGACCTAAATCCATGCCACTGCTGTACATTTATTGTAAATCTTTGTAAACCACGGCGGAACTTGACACCAAGCCGGGGAGAGAGGGGCGGTGACTATAGGCACGGTCAAAGAGGAAGATTTTCAGATGCAATCTGAAGATGGCAAGGAAAGTGCAAAGCAGAGATTGAGGCAGGGAGTTCCAGGGTGTAATGGCTGATGGTGGAGCAGAAGGGATGAGGGGGAAGGTGGAGGCTGGAGATAGATAAGCAAAGGGGGAGGGTAGTGGAATAAAGTGTAATCAAATTGGTGATGTGCTAGGCCATGAAATGATTTGTAAGCGAGTGTGAGGATCTTGAAATTCATGTTCTGTAATAGGGAGCCAATGGAACCTGGCAAGGATAACAACAAATTACATTTATACAGTACCTTTCACGTCGTAAGGGCGGCCCAAGGTGCCAGACAGTTAAGGGTTGTACCCCAGCTGGGGGTTGGAATCATGAGAAGTGGAGGGTAGGGGGAGTGGGGGTGGGAGAGTGGCTGAAGGCATGATCGAAGAGGAAGGTCTTGAGACAACAACAGCAGCAGCAGCAAGATTACATTTGTATAGCGCCTTTCACATCGGGAGGACGTCCCAAGGCGCTGGACAGAGAACAGCATTTCAGGCCTTAAAGGAGACAAGGGATGGGACGAGGCAGAAGGATTCCGTGATGACTGGTGTAATGCAATTTTAATTTACATGATATAGCTTTTAAAAGCAAAAATAGGTACTAGATATTCTGATGGGTTTACACTATGTTTATAGTTCTGCAAATGGAAAGTTCTCGTATTTCTCTCAGAAGTTACTCTAATATTTGGCTCCATCTAGTGGCCTGGCTGATGTATGTGGTAAAGGATTCGATCGCCAGCCCTTGAGCTCAAATCATGGGCTTGTCAATTATAATTGTTGCATTTAATATTAGCACCTTCTCAAATAGTCTGGATGTCTCAAAGCACCTCACAAGATTTCACTGGGAAGTAGTGACTGGATTTGTAGACAAACATGGCATGTGCTCTGCAACTCAGCATTACGTAAATGATCAATTGTATTTGGGGAATTGCCAGCCAGCACTTTTTGTGTCACAGGATGTTTAATGGCTGCCTAAATAGGCAGACGGGACCTTGACTGAACATCTCATTTGAAGGACGGTACTTTGGACAATACAGTGCACCCCATTAATGTCAGCCTAGACTGTGAGCTCAAAGTTCTGATGCAGGGCTTGAACCCACAACCTTCTGACAGAGGTGAGAGTGCTAGCAGGTGAGAGTGACAATAGTACCGACTTTGACCTGTGATGGAGGTCAATACCTGTCACCGGATTCAAACACACACTCTGGGGTCCCCAAGCCTTGGCTTTTGCCAACCTATGCCTAATACTTTCCAGAATTAGGTAAACAGGATGTGTCCCTCCAAGGAGAGAGTGCGCATTCCATTCCAACAAACTACCTCTGGGATTCCCACGTGTAATTGGGATGCATGGAATTCATAGCTTAGTTTGGACACTCTTAAGCATGGTGATGGTTTTTCGCATGTGTCAGACACCCGGCTGACCAAAATAAATTCCAACACTGTGTAGGTTGTTACAGTATTCTTTGACTCGACAACACATATCCTGGAGACCATTTCAGCTGGGGAAGATAAAGGGGCAGTGATCACACAGTGTGTGATCACTGCCCCTCATTTTCCTGGTAACATGACCCCAATTGAACAAAACAACACAATTTAGGATGAATTTTTATTTCATAAAATAATGTTTGGAATCACTATAAAACCCCGTTTATAGCAATTCTGGCTTTAAATAGAGAGTGCAAAGCCACTTTTAAAAAATATACAGTCCAGCTTGTAGTATTGCACTCTTTTCTTCCTCATAATTTCATCGAAGGCTTGTAAGCTAACTGTCGGCAAAGCAGTCAGAATTCTTACGCAAATTAAAAAAGTAATATTTTTACAACATTATTTTACAGTTTGTTGTGCATTCATTTTTCTTCTTAAACATAAAGGAGATCGATATAAAATTATAAATTCATCCGAAGTTGCCTTTAAATCGACCTGTTCTCAAGCTTCTCCGGTGCTTAAGGTGGATCTGGAGAGGGATCACAGGCAGGTCTGCAGTGGGAGATTGTGCAAATCCTAATTGCTGGAAGATGAGAACACGCAGAATCCTGTGTAACCTGGACGGCTCTGAACATCTCTCGTCTGTGCAATCGATAAGATTTTTGGATTTAGAAAAAAATGTAGTGAATTCAAAACACTGTTCTGATCTGTTTGAAAGTCTTTGAATAAAACACAAGATGAATTGGGATGGGGAGTTCTATACAGGGATCATAAAATACATGCGCCTGGTATGATATCTAGTTTAAACTCTCAAAGTCCAGGACTTTTTACATTGGCAGGATTATAGAAATCAGAACACTCAGCTCATTGAGCCTATACTAGAGGTGCTAACTCCTCCTCTGCAGCCAAGGACTCAAGTCCCAATCCGCTTCTCTTTTCCTATACTGATTCCCTGTACTCTTTTCAATTCTTGCTTTAAAAGAGAGCACCTGCAGCAAGTTCGAGTGATCTGCATTCACATGTGATTGAAACCAGACTGTTCAGCAATATTCCAGACAATCTTTATTCCCCCGCCCCCTCGGAAAGACTGACTTGAATTGTAATGAGCTGCGATTTTACTAAGCGTTTTGGTGAGAGATGAAACCAGGGACCCAGAGGTTTTAGATGAGAGAAACTGGAGCTTTTTTTCCCACTTGCAACAAAGAAGCTTGAGATATAGGTGTTCAGATTTAGGAGGGATTTTTGATGAGATAAATTAGGGAGAAACTATTTACAACTGGTCGGTGAGTTGGTAACTGGAGAGCGTTACCAAAAAAAAAGGGAGATATTAGCAGAATTTGTTTTCCCCCACATATATGCCCTATGGAAAAATAATCAGTGATTAAGCAGGATCCATAATTTTAAAAGGGAACTTGCCAAATACAATAAATTCCTGAGAACTCGTCACTCCAAGTGAAAAGGCCTCAATGACGGGTTATCCGGAGTGGCGGGTTAGGTTTACGTATAAATACATGAATAAATGCGGCTGGGATGTTGACAGCACGATGACTCAGGTGGTAGTGATAAATTAAGCCAGGTCGAGTTATCAGGAGTTTTACTGTATTTGAATAATAACAATGTAAAATGGCCCAGGGGGAAAAGACATGGGGAAGTGGAATGAAAACAGACGGTTCTTTCAAAGAGAAACATGGAGCCACAATTGTCTCCTCTATTGTAAAATTTGATGATTCTCTGCGATAAGTCTATTTCAAACAATAGGGGAGAGGCAAAGCTACCAGGAATCAAACCCACCATGAAACAGAACTAGGATCCAGGGAAGAGCAAGGTAGGATAACCTCCCCACTACCTCCCCAGAAACCCACGTTAATGGGATTGCACGCAGAGAATTCTACCAAACTGGCTGAGAGTCTGCTCGATCCATTTTGTAGCTTGCAGAATAATTTAATTTAAAAATCAATCCTTAAAAAAGGTCTCCATTGAAGTCCTTCATTTATAAAATGTACGGGCCTTTCTCCCGAATATTGATCACTCCTCACCTATTTTAGGAAATCATCAAGTACAATCAGATAAAATCACACTTAGCTGACCGCAGGCACATTGTGTTCCCCCAGGACCTGTTCAGGTACACAAACCAACTCTTATCACCTTCGAATGATATAAATGCAGCCCTGCCCAGTCCTCAGATTAAATTTAGTTTCAGGTGGTAAAGGTTTTGGGGGCTGTTTTCACTGGGCTATTGACTATAGAGATTAACCTGGGCGCATTGTGTCTCAACCTGTTTTGTTACAGAACACAGATTCCAACCACCTTTGCACTGTATGAACGAGAAATCACCTCAGATAAATTAAGTTCAGGTGATAAGGTTTGGGAGCTGTATTCCTATCACGGGACTACAAATGCTGAGATTAACCTGGGTCAGCATCCAACACCTTGTGAATCTAATTTTAATTGAGGGCTTCTTAAAGTAGGATTAATCAGTTACTGCAGATAAAATTGCACCATTTAAAGTTGGATGCAGTACATTCCATCCTCAGACAAGAGCAGGAATATGTGAATTTCTAGATGAATAAAGAACAAGGTCCATCTAGTTCGCCTTCTACCATCCTGGTAGTCGCATGCTATAATAATTGGAGATCTTGATAGTAATTCATTCTGTATGGATTAGTCTGCAACAGAGGGAACCTTAGATTGAGTCTCACAACAATCTCTGGCTGATGTGCCCTAAAACTTAGTGCTCAGAGTCATTTAGCAGAACTTGTAAACGCTGTCAAGACTAATGGTCTATATATAAACGTGAGCCAGGCACGGTGTATATTCTAAGTTACAAGAACCATCCTTTTAAATGCCATTACACTCTGCTTGCAGGTTGTTTGGCTGTTCCTTCAATCAGGAGACCAGGATGATCAGTCAGCTTCTCCACCACATTCCCCAAACTACTCCGATTAGTTCAGAATATCAAGCGCTTAATTATGTCGTTCAATGTAAAAGAACATCACACTAGAAGGAGGGGGGTGAGAAAGAGGGTTGGGAGAAGCAATGCTAGTACACAATCTTCATCACTTCCCAAATGAATCATGGCCTATCCATTCGATGAACACAGGCACAGGCTTCTGGTGGAGAAGAACATGTTTGGTTCCTAACAGATTCCTTCAATTTAGTTTGATTTGGGCAGTCGCACTGTTATGGCCAAAACACGAGTGTTTCCTTCACGTGAAGAGATGCAGGCATGGCATGATTTGACCTCACATAGTCTTGCCTGGATTGTGGAGAAGCAGGCTGAACAAGACAGATAGCCTCCATTAAGGTAACCCTACAACGCTGCAGTTTAGTTGGTACATAACATGTAATGGACTCTGGAATGGAAGTTTGGAAGTGTTAGGCTTGCGAATCAGTAACTGGACAGTGCCTTCAGGAATGGCTTTGATAATGTTGCAAGCATCCGCTGGGTTATCTACTCATGTGGCATTTCAACCCGGAAAAGAAAAAAGGACATTTCAAGCTATTTCCGACAGAACATGAAAGAATCTGCAGCTCAGTCTTTGCAGCATTACTTCACGTTCGTGTCTCTCTTTGGCACCCTGGCAAAGTGACATTAATCAGCCTCATGCTAATGTTTCAGTGGAACTGCAGTCAGAGCCGTCAAACCATCGCTACACAGTGTTAGGCTTGCGAATCAATAACTGGACAGTGCCTTCAGGAATGGCTTTGATAATGTTCCAAGCATCGTAGTGCATGAGTCCATGCAAGAACTTCCCATTGATTGCAAGCACTTCATCCCCAATGTCAATCCTTCCAGACTGCTCAGAAGCGCCACCTGCAGGTCAATGGAGGCAAAACACTATTAGAACTTGCATTGCTAGAACCCTATTTCCAATTACATATCAATCTTAGCATTTGATACAGTGCCTTACTACATGGTTGAAACAACAACAAATTGCATTTGTATAGTGTCTTTCACGTCAGGAGGACGTCCCAAGGCGCTGAGCAGTCAGCACCCAAGCTGGTGGTTGGGATCAGGAGAGGTGGAGGGCGGGGAGGGGTAGGAGGGTGACCGAAGTTACGGTCGAAGAGAAGGGTATTGAGACAGGTCTTGAAGGAGGCAAGTGGGGGGGGGGGGGCAAGGCGGAAGTACTGTGTGATGGAGTTCCCACTCCATCCCATAGTGTTAAATGCCTCTGAGCACCAAGTCTTAGGGTACAGCAGCCAGAGATTGCTGTGAGACTCGATCTAAGGTTCCCTAATCAGAGTAGTTTGGGGAATGTGGTGGAGAAGCTGACTGGTGGGGGCAGAGATGCTGAAGGCCCACCCATTAATGGTGGGGTGGGCAAAGTGGGGGTGGTGAAGCAGGCCGGAGCCCATTGAGCGGAGGAAATGGATAGGTTGGTAGGAGGTTAGGAAGTCAAGAGATCGGGAGGAGCAAGACCATGGAGGACTTTGAATGTAAGGACCAAGATCTTGAACTGTATCCTCTGTGTGATGAGAAGCCAGTGGAGTCGGGCGAGGATGGGGGTGAGGGAAAGGACACGGGCTGCAGAGTTCTGGATGGTCTGCAGCCTGTGAAGGGAGGAGTTGAAGAAGCTGACAAGCAGGGAGCTTACATAGACGTCTCAAAGCGCTTCACAGAATTTACTGGAAAGTGTAGTGACTGTGCGTTCTGTATGTAATTTTGGGGGGTCAGCCGAAACTCATCACCATGCTTAAGTGTATTAGAGAAATGGGGGCAGCCTTACTTAGGGAACAGCCCTCTCTGCACACTCTCACCAGCGAAAGACACACTAACTTTTGTTGCGGTGGACACCATGTGTGATTTTTTTGGATGCCTTTTTTCTATTCGATGTCTTATCGATCAGTACAGAAACATGCAATTTTCAAACAAATGGTAAAGGTTGATCCTGGATATGACCCCGGCCCCCAAACTTCAGCACAAACAAGTAGGGCACGAAGCTTTCAAACATTTCAGAGCCACCGTCATTGGCAGCCACCTAGTGTTCCACTCTCTTCATGGCATACTGGTTTAGGCAAGTGGTGGATCATTTTTCTTTAGTCAGGGGCCGAACAACAACAGGAACAAGTTGGCAGAAAGGGTGGTAGAGGTCAGGACACTGGACTCATTTAAAAGCAGCTTGATGCAGTGTTAGGAAGGATGAGATTGGATGGGTTGAAGGGCCTTCTTCATCCAAATCAATCTTATGATCTCCATCTTCATCACAATTTTCACTCAATATTTCGAACAGTGACTGAGAATTGATTGTGGAGCTCCATCTACTGGATTGGCCGATGTTTACAACTCAGTCCTACTGGTGAGAGGCAGGCTCATGATAGAGACAGTCACTGGTTACTGTAGTAGAAGAGGACCCTTCACTTACTAATGGCCTCATAACAGGACAAAGGCTTTTTAGCAACGAGATGGTGATGACAAAAGACTAGCATAGAGTGACAGACTTCTTTTGTGCCTCACACACACAAAATAAACAAGAGCGCTGAGCAACTTAAAAGGCCAATACAATATCACTTGAAATTTTAACAAATTGTAGCTTCCACGAAATGAACAGCTGGAGCTGGAAAAAAAAGCACTGCAGACCACTCTGTGCTTGTTGCAAATAAAGCCACACATTTACTCTGTGTGGTTCTGCACATTCCTACTTTTTTTTTTACATGATACATGTGGAAACACATCATCTGGCTAAAGAGCATCCAAACCAGACACGAGCTCCGTGTGTGTCACCTACACACGGGAATTTCCTTGCGTCTGGAATGCATTGCACGCTCTCTCTCCCTGAGAGCACATTCCTAAAACATTATCACGCTGAAACTGAAAAGGTAACAAATTTGATGCATTGAGAAGGCAGTACCAAGAACTTTCCAATTATACAATTTTCCACCAAACTAAGTGGGAGAGGGGGTGAAGAAGGCAAAAGTCAACTTGGATTTCTGCATCTGATCACTATTCACCTACAAAATACAGTCACGTCACATGAAGCGCTTTGAGATGTCTTCCTGATGTGAAAGGAACTGTATTAAATTAAAAAATTTTATTACTCTCACTCTGGATACTGTGAGACATTGTGATAATAATAATAATCCTTGCACAATAATCACATCGCTAAGACATCTCAAAGCACTTCACAGAATATACTGTAAGGTGAATTGATTGTATATTTTGTGGACAAAACAACAACAAAATTGCATTTGTATAGCGCCTTTCACATCAGGAGGACATCCCACGGCGCTGGACAGAGTTTCGGATCCGAGCTGGTTGTTGGGGTCGGGGAGGATGGAGGGGAAGGGGGAAGCAGGGAGATCGAAAGCACGGTCGAAGAGGACGGTCTTGAGATGGGTCTTGAAGGTGGAGAGGGAGGGAGTGAGGTGGAGGGACTGCAGGATGGAGTTCCAGAGGGTGGGGGAAGAGTGGCGATAGGCTCACCCGCCAATAGTGGGGTGAGCAAGGTGGGGGACTTGAAGCAGGCCGGAGCCCGCTGAGCGGAAGGAATGACCAGGTTGGTAGGGGGTTAGGAGGTTGCAGAGGTAGGGGGCAGCAAGACCATGGAGGGCTTTGAAGCTCAATCATGAAGCAGTCGCAGATTGAGTGACCAAATTATTATTATTTTATAATAATAATCCTTGCATTTGATATAGTACCTCATCACGTGGGCGAAAGGTAAGAGCCAATTACCCACAGCAGTGTTCCACAAACAGTCATGGATTGAGTGACCAAATTATTATTTTTTAAAAATTTTTTTTTGAAGGGATTATTACCCCCAGAAAAGTGATCCACCAATCAATTAACAACCAGGTTCCTACTTACTGCCAGGTAAACAGAGGCGTGTGGAGTAAGGACGCTTGTCCAATGCTTTGCCCTGTCCGGGAATCGAACCAGTAAGCTACAGGACTACACAGGCTTACATGCTGTTTATTCATGGCCTTTCTTGCTGAAAATCAAAGTGTCTGCCTGCAACACCCAGACCTGAATGGTACTGGACACTGTTACTGTAATACTCAACCAGTGACCCCCATTTAATCACTGATAGACAGCCCCTTTCAATTAGCATGTTTTTTGCCTCGATGTTGAGCTCACTCATAAGGGGATGCTTCCTTTATATGCTGCATTCTTAGTTAAATTGTTTACCTCGAAATATCCGTTTAATATACAGAGGTCTGTCTCCATGGATTGATGCCTTTCCTCCATCTAGGCTGAATCCCAGGCCAGCAGAGGTCTTTAACAGCTCTACAGTGATAGCTCCACCTAGGTCCACATTTATTCCTGTAACAGTGAGGAGAAAGACGTGAACGATCTCAGCCAAGGCTGATTGAGAAGATAAAGTTACCTCTGGGCTCTCCGGGTTAGGGAGGGAAAAACCAGCCAAAGTTCCCTTTACAGGAGCCATCACGTGTATTGTGCATGTGGGGCTGCCGGGTGAGGAGAAGTCAGGCTGAGCTGTGAAGCCATCTATTGTCAAATGGCCTCCCGACAAACAACAAACAACAACAAATTGCATTTATATAGTGCCTTTCACATCGGGAGGATATCCCAAGGTTCTGGACACTTGAGGGTTTGCATCCAAGCTGAGGGCTGGATTCTGGAAGGGTGGGGTCAAAGGGGGTGGGAAGATGACCGAAGGCATGGTCAAAGAAGGTCTTGAGACAGACCTCGAAGGAGAAGAGGTTAGGGGTGAGGCAAAGGGACTCTAGGATGGTGTTCCAGAGAGTAGGGGCAAAAACGATGAAGGCCCGACTGCTGATGGTGCGACAGGCAGGGCGGGGATGTGAAGCAGGTCGGTGGCTGCCGAGCAGAAGGAGCAGGTGGGTTGATGGTGGGGCAAGACTGTGGAGGGTTTTAAAAGCGAGAACGAGGATCCTGAATTCAATCCTCTGGGGGATGGGAAGCCAGTGGAGCCGGGCAGGGATGGGGTTGATAGGCTCGTGCAGCTTAGTACGAGAAAACTGACTCACTGCCAAAGCTCATACATGAACAAAGCACAAGTTAATGGAGAGCAACCAGTGCCCGTGGAACTGCACCCCCAGGTTGGGTCAAAGTCTCAAAGCACTTCACAAGATCTTCTGTAAAGTGACTGGGTATTTGTAAGCAAATGCGGCAGGCAATCTGCACACAGCAGTGTCCCACAAACAGCTATGGAGTGAGTGACCAATTTTATCTGGGAGATTGTTGGCCAGGACACCGAGAAAAACTCCTATCGCTTTTTCGAATAGCGCAATGGGATTTTTTAACATCCACCTCAACAGGCAGGCAAGGTTACAGGTGGCTTGAAACCACAACCTTCTGACTCCGAGGTGAGAGGTCTACCAACTGATCCAGGTTGCCACCTACTTGCCTATGACACCCATTAATAATTTCCTGGCTGACGTTAAGTTAAACCAGCAAAGGTCAGGATTTGATCCTGTGATGTTCCAGCTATGCAGGTCTCTGTTTCACTCTACACGTTGACTTACCAACTGAAGCCACGATCCATAACAATCTAATTTCTTTAAAGAAGACATTATAAATACTACTGAATGTTGCTGCTAAGCTGCTGTGATGGAAGGAAATGCAGCATGATTTATAGGGGACCTGATGATTGACTTCCTTACCCACTGTTGTTTCTATGGCAGTGTCTCTTGTCATCGAAAGACGTTTTCCTTTGGGAAGAGATACATCCTGCTGAGAGGAGACCTCTTCCACTTCTTTCCCTCGCTTGATTACAATGACGGATCGTTTGGGTAAGCGAGCTTGATGTAGAGTGTTGAGTGCGTCGCCATGGGTAGAGCCAACAACTGAGATCCCATTGATGGACAAGACGCTGTCTCCTCGTTGGATGGTCCCCTCTTGAGCGGCCACACCTCTCGCAAAGATTCTGTGGATCTGCATAAAGATTTGTGGTTAAATCTACAAGGGGAACATCTATTATTAATTTGAGGCCTGGACTAATCGTTTCCTTACTCCACACACCTAATAATAATCCCTCCAAAAGCAAAAACAATAATAAATTGGTCATTTTCAATCTACGACTGTTTGTGGGACATTGCTGTGCGCAATTGGCTGCCGCGTTCGCCCACAAATATACAGTCAATTCATTTTACAGTGTGTTCTGTGAAGCGCTTTGAGACGTCCTCCCGACGTGAAAAGTGCTATATCAAATTCAAGGATTATTATTATTATTATTATCGTTAATCCTTGCATTTATACAGCGCCTTTTACGTAGGAAGGATGTCCCAAAGCGCTTAACAAAAATTACTGACTAAAAATCCGTAGGCGAACACAGCAATCAATTCAAGCATAGCAACATACCACAAACAGCCATAAAGTAAGTGACCTATTTTATTTGGGGGATTGTTGGCCAGGACACAGGGAGAAACTCCCTTCTCTTTTCGAATAGTGCCATGGAATCTTAATGTCCACCAACCAGACAGGACCTCGATTTATTGTCTCATTCGAAGGACGTCACTTCCAACAATGCAACACCTACCCAGCATTGCGTGTCAGAAAGTTGTGGGACTTGAACTCACATAGCTTAAGTGGAGCGTCAGTTTAGACTATGCAAATTCAAGTCCCCACAACTTTCTGACTAAGTCTGTCGATTGCTTAAAATGTATTTCTGGGCCAGGGAAGAGAGCGGATGTCGCCCAGATATTTTGTTGATCAAGCCCAGCAAGCATATCAGAGAAAAACAAAATGATCTGAAAGTCGGTCATTAAAAATTATATTTAATAAAGTTTGATTCAAATTAGGGCATAGGGCAAGCTGAAAGACAACAATTTCATTTCCCTGGATAGGAGCACTCCACATACTGGTGCACCACCTACAATGTTAATGGTGAACATCGTTATTCTAATAATAATAAAAAACAAGATTACATTTGCATAGTCGGGAGGATGTCCCAAGGCGCTGGGCAGTGTACAGCATTTCAGACCCAACATGGGATCAGGGGGGAGAAGGGAGGGGAGGGGAAGGGGGGTGACCGATGGCCTGGTCGAAGAGGAGGCTTTTGAGGCGGGACTTGAAGGAGACTAAGGAGGGCGTGAGGCAGAGTGATTGGGGGGATGGAATTCCAGAGGTTGGGACAGAGTGGCTGAAGGCTCTCCCGCCAATGAAGTGAGTGACCAATTTTATTTGGGGATTATTGGCCAGGACACTGGAAGAAACTCTCTTCTCTTTTCAAATAGTGCCATGGAATCTTTAACGTCCACCTGAATAGGCAGCCGGAGCCTGGGTTTAACGTCTCATCCGAAGGGCGACAACTACGACCAGCGCAGCGGAATTCTGGTGTCCTTTTAAACATAAGGAATGCTCTAAAATGACTCTAATTGTCACCTTATTTATGTAGAGTATCACAAACACAGTAATTCCAATCTGCCTACAGCGTGTTTCAACCAGTCACTACGGTGAACACGTATTGTTTCATTTTGTCTCAGTCCTGGGTCTGACAATGTCATCGAACTAGCATTGTCGCTTCCACAAACATCGACCAGGGTCCAGAGGTAAGGTCTCACCCTGTTGGAAGCAGCTCGGTAATCAATGCCTCCCTCTGTCTCTCATAGCAATTTCTGACATTTTGTTTTCTGGTTGTGAATGGGTGGGATCTTGATGAACTACTCATCTCAAGAGCAATGGCTAAAACAGTCAATATAACAAAAGGAGATTGCCTGGGGGTGAGTTAGTATAGATATTTCTGCACAGAGAGGTGTTGAAATAGCAAATAGCTGTTGAAGCTGAGTCCACTTGAAAGAGATTTGGATAAATCCTTAAGTACAAATAATATTTGAGCAGAGAAGGTTGAGGAGAGATTTGATAGAGGTGTTCAAAATTATGAAGGAAAATCTATTTCCTCTGGCGGGCGGGTTGGTAACCAGAGGACACAGATTTAAAGGAATTAACAAAAGAACCAGAGAGGAGGCGAGGAGAAATTTTTTTACCCCGAGTTGTTACAATTTGGAATGCACAGCCTGAAAAGGTGGAGGAAGCAAATTCGATAGTAGCTTTCCAAATAGGTATTTTGAAAAGGAAACATTTGCAAGTCTATGGGGTAAGAGCAAGGGAGTGGAACTAATTGGATAGCTCTTTCATAGAGTTGTTACAGGCTCTTTGAGATAAATGGTCTCCTTCTGTGCTGTAATATTCCATGATTCTATGAATATTAAGCTGGAGTGGGACGGGAAAGGATATATAGCTCCAGCAGAGAAGCTAGCACCAGCACACATAATGGTCTGAATGGCATCCCATGTGTGAAGTAAACTTTCTAAGATTTGATTCTACCAGACGTTTTGATGCTATAAGGAATCACATCACGTGCAAGTTTTATTCATAAGATCGGTTCAGATGAAGCCGGCCCTTCAACTCATTTGATCTCGTCCCTCCAGAATACCCACTCTATAATAATAATAATAATCCTTGCATTTGATATAGCGCTTTTCACGTCGGGAGGACATCCCAAAGCGCTTCACAGAACACACTGTAAAGTGAATTGACTGTATATTTGTGGGCGAACGCGGCAGCCAATTGCGCACAGCAATGTCCCACAAACAGTTGTAGATCGAAAATGACCAATTTATTATTATTTTTGGTTTTGGAGGGATTATTATTAGGCGTGTGGAGTAAGGAAACTTGCCCAAGGTTTCGCCCTGCCTGGAATTGAACACAGGTCTCTCGCTTGCAAAGCGAGTGCTCTAACCACTGAGCTACAGGACTCCACTCTACTTCCCATACAGCATCCATCTGTTTCTCCAATGAGTCCAGTGTCCTGGCCTCAACCATCTTTGCTGGGTAACCCGCTTCCGTCATTCATTGCTCTCTGGATTAAAACAAAATACTTCCTGGTGTCTGTCCTGAAACCGAGAACCACGTGTTCTCCTGCTTTGGTGTACCTGAAACCATTCTGTCTGTTCAAACCAGTTCTGTGCGTGGAGTAGACACAACATTACACAGCACAAGTAGGCTCTTGGGCAATACTTACAGTGACTGATTTGTGTTCCTGATCCATGCCTCCTGCAATACTGAAGCCCAGTCCAGTGCCTTCATCTTTGTCCATCACCACAATAAAAATCTCGCCTTTACTCTGTCGTCACAGAACAAAAAGGAAGAGTGAGTTTTGCAATGTTGCAAAACAAACAAAGCAACATTTTGTGATGAACATAAAGTTTCATGTGCCCATGGTTCCAGTTCGCTCAAGTTTCGTGAAAGCACAAATGGAACCAGAGTCACAATGTCTTGTGGCCACACGTAAGGGCTTTCTGATACTATGTTGAGGGGAAGGGAGTGTTTGTACAGAAGAATGTTTTTAAAAAAGAAACAATGCCAAACACTTGAAGTAAAACCTGAAAATGTTGAAATCCACAGCAGATCAATCAATGACATTCCAGAGAATGAATGCGGCCCTTCATCGGGACATTGACCTCTTTTGCCTTCAGATGCCTTTGCTGGGCAGGCTTTCAGCCTTCTTGCCTCCACTCATTGGAACTCCACCTGAGTCTTACAGGCTAAGGCCACCACCTGTGCCATCTGGAGACCCTCCTCCAGCACCTCATTCACACAATACAAGGAAATGCCTCGACCCCTCCAAATTACTCCTTTTTGTAATATTTCTCTGGATCCCTCATCAACATATTTAAGAGGAAACATGAGAGAGAAGCCTCCTGTTTAGGGAGATAGCAGTAAGTGCCTTTTCATACAACAGAGATAAACCAGCTGGGCCAGCTCCACAATAATAATAATCTTTGCATTTGATATAGCACCTTATCATATCATTGAGGTCTCAAAGTACTTCACAGAATATAATGTAAAGTGATTTGACTGTACATTTTTTTGTGGGCCAATTGCACACGGCAGTGTTCCACATACAGTTGTGGATTGAATGACAAAAAAATTATTTATTTATTGGAGGGATTATTATCCCCAGAGAGCGACCCACCAATCGACTAACAACCGGTTCCTACTTACTGCTAGATAAACAGAGGCGTGTGGAGTAAGGAAACTTGCCTAAGGTTTCGACCTGCCCAGGAAACAAACCCAGGTCCTCTCGCTTGTGAGTCAAGTGCTCTAACCACTAAGCTGCAGGACTCCAGCACAAGGGTACTTACTACATCCAAAAGGACTTCTAATCAGCCAGTGATCTGTTTACATTTTATTTAATGTGACTCAGACAGCTAGCATGCAACTGGTGCTATTTACAAGCCGGGGAAACTTCTTAGAAGTTGTTTTGACAGAAACTGGCTACTTCCAATTCGGGGATTTCAGTCCAATGGCAACAGCACAGTATAAGCAGCTCAAGATGGGGATTGCCAGGAGAATCCATAAAAATATATCCTGTTATACAGTGCCAATCAACTTAGTTTCTTATCAAATTTGACAAACTGTAAGTGGTTTCCTTTGATTTATTTCCTTTTAGCTACAAGGGGGGGACAAGCTAAAATGCACAGGTAGAATGGAGAAGGTTGTAGAGCTCACTACCTTTATTGAAGTTGAACGTCTTAAAAAATATGTGCTTTCCCAAAAATGCAAGCATATATTTTTGGTATGTAACTGCGTATTACTTTCTGCGTCAGGATAGTAATAGAGCGTAACGTCAGGCATGGAAAAAATTACTCTCGCTTCATGTCTCACAAGATTGGATGCATTTTGGCATTAAAAATCCTTAAAGCTAAGAGCTACAACAGTTTCGCTCCAATAGACACTGCAATTTGAACTCATGTAGTATTATTGGAGGTGCAGTCTTTCAGATGAAATGTTAAATTGAAATCCTGACTGCCATTTTAGGTGGACTGCTACTACAAATGCACGGATTATTATTATTATTATTGCTTTAGAGTAAATCCTATGAAGCGCTTTGAGATGTCCTCCCAACATGAAAGACAATATACCAAATATAACCATTATTATTACTATAAACAGAAATATATTGCTTTAAACCCAGCATGGAAATGCAATGTTTGTTTGGATAACTGGATTGTTTACCTCAGTGACTGCTTTGGTGTCATGGATTATTTTAATGACATCTGCTTTGGCTGTTACAGAGGACAAAGCAGCCTGTACCTTCTCCTGGTCCTTGGTGGAGTGTGATAATTGTTCAAGACTGAAACAAAGGAAAAAAACAATTTGGATTGAAACAATGATATTTTATGTGTGTTGTCAATCAAATTACAAAACCACAGAGATGCATGTGATCCAGTTTTATACAAGTCTACCATCTATTGGAAGTCACTCTGACAGAGTCACCTTAGCCTTTCCAGCTGAGTCGTGATGGGACAACGGGAAATTAAAGGTCTAGTTTGGATCCTGAGCCTTAATGGATTTGGACCAGATTGAGTCAAAGTCGACAATCTGGACTATAAAGTGGCTATTACCGTCAAAAAAGTGTTACTTAAAAATAGCTTAGACCTACTACTCTTTTATCCTCAAACCTTGACTTTTTCTAGCCCATACTAATACTTTGCAGAATTAGGTAAGCAGGATGCAACCTTTCCATTCCAGACAAAGAGAAATGTCTACATGTAGGTGGAATTTATGCGTGGATCTCTGTCTGGTTGGAATACTCTCAAGCATTTTGTTGGCTTTTCATTCGCCTGTGTAAAATGCTCAGTTGAGAGAAAAAATACTTTTAGTTATTGGCATTTGTAGACTTATGAAACATTATTATAATAATAATAATCCTGGCATTTGATAGAGTGTTTTTATCGGGTCTGGATGAGAGCTAACTTTCTGCAGTGAACGTCAACAAGACCGAGGCCCTCCTGATTGGCTCCCGTTAGCAGCAGCATACTTCAGGCACTAACAGCATCACCATCCATGGTTGCACACTCCACCTTACTAAGCCAGTCCGGAACCCTGGTCCCTTCGCCTCGCTTCCTCCCTCGCATTCTTCAAGGTCAGTCTCAAGACCCTTCTCTTCGACCGTGCCTTTGGTCTCCGTCCCATCTCTCTGCCTTCCCTCACCCCTACACCACCCCTCCCCCATGCTCGGGCCTCGACATCTGACTGTTCAGCGCTTTGGGACATGCTCCCGACGTGAAAGGCGCTCTACAAATGCAACTTTGTTGTTGTTGTTGTCAACTATCCTTTCTACTCCACATCCGTGCCATGATCCGCTCTGCCTTCCCCCACCTGCGCAACATTGCCCGGCTCCACCACTGCAGACCGCCGAAACCCTCATACACGCCTTCATTACATCCAGGCTCGACTACACAAACTCCCTGCTTGTCGGCCTCCCCAATTGCTCAGCCTATAGGCTGCAGATCATCCAGAACTCTGCAGTCTGTGTCATCTCCTGCACCAGGCTCCACAACCTTATCACCCCCTTCCTCATCCGACTCCACTGACTTCCCATCACAACAACAACTTACACTTACATAGCGCTCTACATGCAGGGTAGAGTCTCACAGCGCTCAGCAGTGGCGGAGCCGGCCTGACTCCGAGCCGGGGGGGGGGGGATTGGGGTGCAGGTGGCTGTAAGCACGGTCGAGGAGGAAAGTTTTCAGGCAGGACATGAAATAAGGGAGAGAGGGGACAAGGTGGAGGGATTGAGGAAGAGTGTTCCAGAGTTTTGGGGCATAGTGACTGAAAGCACGACCTCCGACAATGGGGAGGAGGGTGCGAGGGACGAGCAGGAGGCCGGTGCCAGTCGAGCAAAGGCGCTGGGTGGTGGATTGGGGAGTGAGGAGGTTAGAGAGGTAGGGAGGTGCCAGGGAGTGAAGGGATTTGAACACGAGCGTAAGGATCTTGATGTTGATCCGTTCGGTGATGGGGAGCAGGTGGAGCCTGGGCAAGAACTGGTGACATGTGGGTACGGAGTTTGGTCCGGGTCAGTATGTGGGCGGCAGAGTTCTGAATGAGCTGAAGTCTAGGACCTCTTCCCACTGGCATTTGATGTGAGGATAAAAGTGACTTGAGGGGGTGCACGGAGAAGGTTATGGATGGTGGAAAACAGCATCTTTGGATTGATGTTTGCCTCCAGGATGACTTTGGTGTAAAAGTCAGTTTTGGCCTGTGAAAGGGAGAGGCAGTAGGTGCACAGGTGCTGAGCCACAGATGGCAATGAATCGTGAGGCCGGATTTCTGCCATCTGCGCTCGAGCATCCGGGTTTATGTTTTGAGTGAGCGGAGATGACTGTTGTACCAGGGGGAGCGGGTGGGTTTCGAGACAACCCTGGATTTCAGGGGAGCCAGAGAATTGAGCGTTGCCACTCCCCACTCCTCACACTCCTTTGCCCCCATTTCTCCTTCCTTCCTCTCAAGCACAATCACGCAGAGGATACAGTTCAAGATCCTGGACATCACTTTCAAAGCCCTCCATGGGCTTTCTCCCCCCTACCTCTGCGACCTCCTAACCCCCTACCAAGCTACCCGCTCCCTCCGCTCAGCCGCCTCTGGCCTGCTTCACGTCACCTGCCTTGCCCCATCATTGGCGGGCGGGCCTTTTGCCACTCCGCCCCCACCCTCTGGAGCTCCATCCCACAGTCCCTCTGCCTCGCCCCCTCCCTTGCCTCTTTCAAGACCTGTCTCAAGACCTTCTGCTTCGACAGTGCCTTCAGTCCCCCTCCTGCCCGGGAATCAAATCCAGGTCCTCTCGCTTGGGAGGCGAGTGCTCTAACCAATACGGTACGCTGGAAATATCAGTCAAGATTTGAGGCATACTGACCTGACAGACCAACTTCTGCCTCGATGCAACTTGTCACTATGTGTCACCTCATCGTCAGACGTTAAATCTAGTGCTCCTGTGCTGCTCTTCCAAGGGCAATTTGATCGAGAGCTGGGAATTCCAGATCGGTATATTTTCACTAAGCCAGAACCAGAAGCAGGGAGGGTAGAACCTGAGAGGGCAGAGGTGAGATTTGTGAGGCTTTCAGCAGCAGGACCAAGAGATCTTCGTGGCTTGACCTCCAGCTCAGTTTTAAAGCTTTGCGTTGCTGCATCAGAAGAATAGTCCTCGCTGCACAACTTGTCCAGGTCTGGCATGCTTAGTGCTCTCAGCTCCCGCAGTTTGGAGCGAGACAGGGTTGAGGATGATGGTCGATGGTGGACTGTTGGCTTACTTTTACTGATGTTAACTCTGCGTGGTGCAGAGTCATGTTCGTGGGACCTTTCATTGCTGACGTTGCATTCTTTGGCCGTTTCAGAACCATGTTCCTCAGTATTGCTCTCGGAATGATTCATCTCAAAGCTTATAAAAGCCAAGCTGGACGGGGACTTTTTTAATTGTGGTGACGGGAAGGAAACCTCAGAGCCTTCTGTGCATGAGCTTAAACTTCGTCTCAACAAACGCGATGAATCACAGTCTCGTGTCAGCGAGTGATTGTATGTGGTTACAGGAATCGCACTGCCTGATATACGCCTGCCTATTGATGGCTTATTTGAAAAGCTTGCATTGCACATAACAAAGGACGAGTCTAAATACTGCGAGTCCAGTTTCCTGAACATAGGTTTGTCAAAGCAAGCCAGACTTTCAAAGGACTTAATTCTCTGCCTGACAGAAAAGGACGAGCCACTCTCGGGTAGGCAGCTTGGTTCGTTTGTGAAACTTCCCAGATTGGATTTGCTCTTGTCCCTTTGAAAGGACATGAAGTCTATGCTGGGGTGTTGTTCTTCACTCAGGGATTTTCTCAGGATACCAGTCGTCTCTGGGTTTAGGTGAAGACTATTGAGACTTTTAACAATGTGATCGGATTGTAATGTGTCAAACGATTTTATCTCTCTCTCCAGGAATAGTTTGTGTTTTTGTTTCTGAGAAGAATCAGCATTTTCACAGCTAATTGGATATTTCTCAAGGTGTGCCTCACCGTTGACTTTGTTAACTGGTAGTTCTGGTTTCTGATCCTCTCTCAAACAAGGCTTTGGTGCTATCTTTGGTTTGTGGCCGTTCTCTATTACTTTGAGGGATTTGGTCAACTTGTGCTCTGAAAGCCCTGAAGTAATAGATAGGTCCATCATTTCTTTCCTTTCTAAAGTAGGTGATGTTAGTTTTAATTCTATAAAACTACGTTGCTTTGCCACATGATCTTGATGGTCTTCGAGCGGTGAGATTGCAGGAGAGGCTATTAATTTGTTTGATTCTTTATGTAGCAAAGAGTCCTCGGATTGGATTTTCTGCGTCAGTCCTTGCTCCTCTCCTAGTGCTTCTTGGGACATGTTTTTGTAGAGTTTACTAGGCTTTGGGTCAACTTCACAAACATCCAACTGTGTAGAAGGTGCGATGCACATCTGTTTCCTGAATGCTTGTGACACCTCTCTATTTTCATACACTTCCAGTTCTCCAAATGACTTACAATTTTTTCTATTCGAGATATTTTCCCCTTCATCTTTGACCACCTCCTTGGGCTCTTCTTCACCTTTCAATTTTTGTTCAACTGTCATTTGGAGCTTTGTGTCTATTCCCTCTTCTTTAGATGCTTGTTTAAATAGTGGCTTTTCCATTTCATGGCCCAACGGCACTTTATCAGTGACATAAAGTGGCCTTGTTTGACATTTATCTTCCCGTCTGGTTTGGAGTTTGTCTTCTGCCACTAATTGCGTGGGGAGATGTTCTGAAGAATGTACAGGGAGTTTGCTGTTTTCATTCTCCTGTATCATTTCAGTTGCTGTGGATTTAATTTTCTCAACCAGTTTGCTTGCTTTTAAACTATTTAATGAAGCTTTCCTGGTAGGAGCCTTGGCTGTGGGACTGTCGGCAGCCGAGCACTTCTCTGGACACTTCTGTGAAGCTTCCGATTTCTTGGATCCATCTAACTTGGTCACATTCTTCTCTTGTAGCTCCGAAGGTGGTTTACTTTTACTTTTAATGCTCAGCCCCTTAAGCTTCGGGACATTGGACGACTTTTGCCATTTTTCTTGAAGCTTAGATCTGTTGGGCAACTGCGATGCTGCTCCACTTTCACTTTGTGCTTTTAGCTGTGTGGAAGATCTTATAGCTTGTGGTCCTAAAGACTGTTTAGGCAGATTGGCTGTTCTTTGTGGCTGGAGGCTAGGATTATTTCCGGTGCTAAACAAAGACAAATCCTTTTGGGGGGCAAGAATCAATGACGGGGCTGAATCTAGAGAATCTACATTAGGTTTATTTATAATAGAAAGCTTTGGCTTGGACATTGGATGCTGGGGAGAAAGGCTTCTTGGGGTCATTTCCACATTCTTAGTTTCTTTCAAGCTATCCACAGAAGAGGAGATTGCATCACCCGCTTTGCTTGGTTCTGACTGATATTGTGACTGAAGCTTTGAGGCAGCGATGCTGGAATCACTGTGGTGTTGTGGCTCTTCCTCAAATCCTCTCACAGCTTCTCCTATACAATGGCCTTGATTTGGTTCTTGGTGAGCAGATGCCATCATATCTGCATCTTCCATGTCACACACTTTGCTCAGCTTTGCATCTTCCTTGGAAGATGTGTTGAGTCCTCGAATTTTATTTTGCTTTATTAGTGCATCACCTACATCTGTGGAACTAGGAATACTCGTGTTCTCAAGGCTGCCTTGTTTAGAGGACTCGCCATTAAGAGAATATGGCAAGGTGCCCTGTTCATCCGTGTCTGTTCCAGCCGTACCTGAAGGATGAGGCAAAGAGAATGGTGCGATTCCATTTGCTTTGTGTGTATGGCATGGAGAGTCTGGATTTGAATTTGTTTTTTCAACTAGGGCGAATGTCTCTAGACATGTTTCTGAAGTATACTTTTTCTCTACAGTAACAACCTCTTCAGTTGATGAAGAAATAGCATTAGGTAGGACCTTTTGATGTAGATTTATTGGAGGATTTGTCGACTGTCCCATGGCTTGCTGCAATGTGCTGACGTGATCATCAGTTTGATAGCAGATCTCAACCTCTTCATTATCTGAATCTGCGGCAGTAGGATTGTCGCATTGACTAGATGGTGCGGCTCCAGGTAAAACACGCTCTGTTTTATCACAAACCGCAGGAGAATTCTCACCAGAAGATTCGGTCTCTGAATCAGAATCATCTGCAGCAGCGTACATGGACTGTCGTTTAACCTTTTCTGTTGTTAAAGGCAATGGCTCTTCTTCCTTCCCCGTGTTTAAATTCCATGAGTAATTGGTCAGGCAGGTTTTGTTCACTGATAATACTTTGCCAGTGCTGACTGAATTCAGAACAGAAAAGTCAAGACTGTCCTGCTTGCTGTTGGCTGACAAAGTATAGTTGCTGTTTACAGCAAATGTCCCATTTGCCTCATTAATAGGCTGACCTGAACCCACAGGTATTTTATCTTGATTCTCTTTGAGACTCGGCGACAAAGTGTTTCTAGTTTGTTCTTCAGCAGAATTCAACTCTTTAATGAAGTCATCGATGTCTGTCACTGGGATATCACTTTCATCCTTATCCAATGAGATCCTGGAAGATTCCTGAAATGTCCCTTGCTCCTCAATCCCTGAATGTCCAATGAGATTTTTCAGGGGCTCTGTATCCATGCTCATAGTCCTCTTCTGCAGTAAACCTTCAGCCTTTTCCTCACTGGTTACAGTGTTAGATTCTGGGCAACAGGGCACATCCGTTGAAGAGGAGATAATACTAGAGAGTCTGTCTACAGCTGTAGAATTGAAACATATATGAGAGAGAGGGAGAAAGAGTGTAACATAGCCAAATCTATGTACAGCATATACAAATCAATAAAGACAAACACCTGTTAATGCTCTGATCTGTCGCACAATAAAAACATATTGGAAAACCCAACTCTTATTATTTCTCACAAGATGGGCAAAGTAGAGGGAAGGTAAGAGCTCAATGTGACATCAATTTCTTGCTTGCTGTCACCCCCACAGACAAATACACAGTTCCAGGCTGGCTCAGTGATAGCACTCTCGCTTCTGAGTCAGAAGGTTATGGGTTCAAGCCGCATGTCGGGACATTGAACTCACGTAGTCTAAGCTGACACTCCAATGCGGTGCTGGGGGAGTTGCATTATTGGAGGAGCTGTCCTTTGGATGACATGTTAAACTGAGATCCCATTCTGCCTGTTCAGTTGGATGTTGAAAGATCCCTTGGCACTTTTTGAAAAGAGAAGGGAGTTTCTCCTCATGTCCTGGCCAACAATCTCCCAAAATAAAACTGGTCATTCAATTTACTGGCTGTCTATGGGACAGCTGTATGCAATTGGACTGCCATTTTTGCCAACAAATATAGCCAGCAAATCGCTTGAAGTGCTTTAGAACATCCTCTCGATTTGAAAGGTGCTCTATTACCAAATTCAAGGGTTATTATTATATTTGGAGTTTGGTAACTAGCTAAGTTTCCAGTCAATCGATTCAACTTGATGCTATGAAGTTAAACATTTGCCAGATCTGGACAGTTTGAAATTACTAAACGTTGGACAATAAAATGGAATCGCTAACAAAGGCCCCCACCCCTCTCCCGATAAGGGATCATAAATGTTAACACTCAAGTCGTCTCTCCTGGCGTGCTGGTTTGTGGCGGGCTTGTTGGGGATGTATCCTGACCTTTGATATGCTATTTGTTCGTTACTGATACGTACGTTTACACAACAACCATCACTGTCATCACTTCATTTTATTAGATGGCTCATTTTCCACAGTTTCCTCCCACTTACGGACACGCACAATGTCTCGTTGCTTTCAAAACAACATCACAAGAGAAGTTCAGATGAAGACAGTCTTTTGGCCCTGAAATTCCACCTTATTTTAGCCTGTCCTAAAATCTAAGACTAAGCAGTACTGTACCAAACTCTTGCATTCAGTTCTTATTTGGAAGCTGATTATCTTTTAAGAACCGCAGAAAACAAATTTCCAAATTAAGATTGAATTTAAAAATTCCCCACAAAATCGGTGCGATTTTATATTTTAAGATAAATTAAGCGTACCAATGTCTGGCGTGAAGGGCGCTATATAAATGCAAGTTGTTGATATTGTAAATGATCTTACAGGATAAGACTATGTGAAGTTCCAGACCTCATCCTTTCAGACTACTCCATCCTACCACCTTCCTATTACAATTATTATTATATTATTATATTCCTATTACAGAATCAAGCGGCTTCTCAAATGAGTCCAGTGCCTGGCCTCCGCCACCTTTCCTGGTAACCTGTTCCAGATATTAATACCTGATATTTGCTGTAAAATTCCCCTTCCCAACCTCTGAACCTGTGCACTCTTCCACTGGTTTAAACAAATTGTGCTGGTTACACAACAGGGAAATTACTGATGTTAACAAGTGTACCCCCACACCCCTCTGTTGTCATACAATGCTCTTAATTCATTCCCTCAAAATGTTGTTATCTTTGTCACTACCAATGATCATTTGCCCACAAAACAGTTTACAGTGTATTTTATTAAGCGCTTTGAGATGTCCTTTCGACATGAAAGTTTTGGAAGCATAGAATCTGCAGTCTAGAATTGTGCTTGCCTAGTTTATTATTGATTAACAATTGATTCAGTGGATTTCATAACAATAATAAATAATAATAATAGCACTTCACAGAATACACTATAGAGTGCAATGATCAGACAATGTCATGAAACCATGCAGTCCCATCATGTCAGTAACAGGTTGGAGTCTGTCAGGAGATCAACTGGTCTAAACTCTGTTCCCCCATCATCACCAGACCTCACCAGGCTCCACTGGCTCCCTATCACAAAACAGATCGACTTTGAGATCCTCACACTTGTTTACAAATCTCTTCATGCCCTGAAACCTCTCTTTCTCTCTGACCTGCTCACTCCCTATTCTACCATCCACTGAGTCCAATCGGCTGGCTCAGGCTTCCTGCTTGCCCGTGTCCCCTTTGCTCCATCAGCGACCGTGCTTTCAGCCACCACGCCCCAAAACTTTGGAACTCTCTCCCTCAATCCCTCTGCTTGCCACATCCTTCCCTATTTTCAGATCAAGCCTGTAGATCTTCCTCTTCAACCTTACATTCATCTTGTCCCTCCCCTCCCTGCTAGTGTCAGGCTCCACCACTATTAAGCGCTCCGAAACACTACCTCAATCTAAGGATGCTATATAAATGGAAGTTGTTGCTGTTGTAAAGACAATTATTTTAGCTACTTATAAAAACTAGCTGGTATGATGTTGATAAATCATTGTCGATAAACATCCTTGCTTTCATACACACTGCACCAGATTCAGAATCAGTCGCTATTCCAGTATTTGTTAAATTTCACAAAATTTCACCCGCATGAAAATCGTTCATTTTACTCAATTCAAGGGAATAATGGGCCTACAATACCCTCGATAAAATCGGTCAATCATTTACTACATGGCTACTTTTAGGTATTGCTGCGTGCAAATTGACTACCGCACTCACCTAACAAAATACACATTACAGTAATTCCTGTGAAGTTATTTAAAACAACAAATTGCATTTATATTGCGCCTTTCACATTGGGAGGACATGAAAGCAATTATATAATGTCTTCCCAACTTGAAAGACACTTTATCAGATGTAAGAATCATTATTGTTTGCAAAGGAGGGCAAACTAAAGAAAATCAAGATTTGGTTGGGCTTGCCTTTTTGTTTAACAGCAAGAGATTTAATTATTTTCTTTACTGACTATTTCACACAATTTGTTGGACAAAGAGCATATCCAGGAACTCTCACCAGAGCATTAACAAGTACACAAGAGTCTCATATACGAAATATTACTGACGTGACATTGAAACGAAACACATGATTTCACAACTCCGTGCATTTGGTAAACTTATTTTATGAAGGTCCACCACTTTGAGTTGAAAGCCTCATTTCAGTTAAAAGTCTAATCACAGGTATACTTTTTATCCGAAAATCAACAATATCAACAAAAATCACATACTTTGCTTACCAGAGATGGGTTTCTGTACCTCCAATGTGATGGAGGCAGACAGATCGTGCATGAAGTCGCAGGTTTGCTGGTAGGACATGCTGTTGACTGGCGTGGTGTTAATGGAGACGATCTCATCCCCAGCACAAAGTTTTCCCTTTGACTCCTGTGAAAAGCAACATCATAAACCAATGCTTATCAATGCACTGCTAGAAGGTATGCGGGCGGGCAAAGGGTAAAGTCTAACTTCCACAATGAGAGGTATAGAGAGCGAAATCTCACAACAGATCATGTGGACGAGATCAGCTGCCCCTTTCGCCCACAGCAGGTGGTGATAAAATACTGAAATGCCTGCCAGGAGAACTTACGCATTAAAATGGCCATATTAAAATCTTCACTTCAAATAACGTCTTAGTTATGATCCCCTCCTCCCCCTTCATCCTTGTTTGTCTGTGACGTTAGCTCATGTGAAGGGCACTATATAAATGCAAGTTATTCATGGCAAGTGGTGGAAGCAAAAAGTTTCACTGTCTCTGTAGGGATCAACAGAGTGTTGAGGGGCAGATTCACTGCCCTTAACGCAATCAAGAGTCACCTGGGCCAATTTTAAAATAGAAGGCAATATAAATAACTCAAATTCATATGCTTGGATTCATACATTAGTTTGAGGATCTTCATTGTTAGTGTATGTGTGGGATGTGTCTCCACTATCAATAAATTGCATTTATATAGCACCTTTCACGTCACGAGGATGTCACAAGGCGGGGTGCAGTCAAACATGCACTGTTCACTAATCCTAGCTCATTTGATCCACACCCATTTTTACACCCTCTTGTGACATCGAGTTTAAAGGTTGCACATGGAAAATTCTGATTTATCCCTGAAGGATAAGGAAGGAAGTGAATGCGTTGAGATCTAATAATGGATCTCAACACTCGGCCTTTAAAACGTACCCTCTCGGCAGCTCCACCTGGCCGTAATGCTGTGACCAGCACTCTCAGGGGGGAAGCCTTGATCTCTAAGTCTAAACCAAATGACTCAGATTGCTTCCGTGAGAGTTGGACAGTCTCTGTGTTGCACAGCAGCGACGTATCTCCAGGCTCAGCCTTTTTGCTGTGAGGGAGCGACCTGGCAACAGGCTTGCTGGAGGGTGCGGGTTGCTCCTCGTTCTTCTGCCGCAGGAGACTGGGTGGGCACTCAATGCTCATCATGCTCTTCACTCTGGTGACCGCCTTGTGTTCCAGTTTGGGTGAGCGCTTGCACTCCACCGGGGCCTCCTTCACACCGAGGCTGCTGTGGCTGGCATCGATGCAATTGGAGAACTCAAAGGATTTGATGGGAATGAAGGGTGAGTCGACCATTTGCTCCATTGAACTGTCTGACTCCAGTGAGCTGCCATACAGAGAGGTGGCTCTGTCATTGCTGGCATTCCGCGGCACGTCATCATCTTGGCTCTCATCGTCCACCTCGACGGAAGAGGTCGTTATGACGATGCCCGAATCCTGCTCGTGTCCTTTCCTCACACCATCCCTCTGAGTCCTCTTAAACCCACCTTTGGCCTCGGCCTTCATAGAGTCCTCATCGTCACTGATGTCGTAGCAGATGACCCTGCGCTGGCGGAGGAGGGGGCTACGCACTGACTTGGGGCTCCCCCCAAGGCTGGCTTGACGTGCACACTCCATGTGTTTGTTGATGGGGACAGAAGCTTTCCCGTTGCTGAGAGAGGGCAAGGCCATTTCCGGTTTAATGACTGGAAAGAAAGTAATATTAGATTAAGAATTTACATGACGTCTCATTCGCACTCTACTTTCCCACAAATAGTCATGATTGAGTGACCAGGGATTTTTTTGGAAAGCGATCTACCAATAGATTAACAAATGGGTTTCTAGTTACTGTTAGGTAAACAGAGGCATGTGGCATAAGCAAACTTGCCTAAGGTTTTGCTCCACCCGGGAATCAAATCCAGGTCCTCTTGCTTGCAAGATGAGGATGCTAACCATTACACCGCAGAACTGAATGCATTAGGTCAGCAAAGGCTCAGATTTGGCTGAGATATGTGTCGGATATTCACTGTCTAGACTCACACTGAAAGGGTGGTTAATGTCAGGAAAAGCATAAAATAAGATTCCTGAAATCATTAGACTATTTTTTTAAAATTGTTCACTTCACTAGGTAATGTTTTTAATGACACTATTTCTTTGGTCAACCAGATGCCTGACACGGGCCAAAACCCATCATCAGGCTTAAAAGTATCCAAAAAGCTGAGAATTCCATGCATCCCACCTACACATGGAAATCCCAGATAGTTGGAGTGGAATGTGCGCTCTCTCCCTGGAGGGACGTATCCTGCTTACCAAATTCCAGAAAATATTAGTCACAGTTTGGCAAGAGCCAAGGCTTGGGGACCCCAGAGTGTGCATTGGGATACTGCTTAATTTTATGCCACAAGGACATCAGAGGAGCTTTCAATCTTATTTTAACAGGAGTCCTGACAGCACCTTCCCCCAAAGAGGCAACAGAACCAATGCTTTCTTCATTATACTGTTCACACTGAAAATCTACCTGTTACTAACAGGAGCTAAAGTGTTCAACAGGTGTCAAACCTGGAATCAAAGGTGGGGCGCTGCTGTCATCCAGCGAGTCCGTGGTACTTTTCTGTCGTAGTTGTTCCTCGTCGCTTGAAGCTGTTACCATCGTGTCTGAGAGAGAGGACTGGCTGGGAACATCATGAGTAAAGTACTGGGAGAGTTCTGCTTCTGAGCTCAGTGACCCTTGCTGAAAGAGAGAGCAAGAGAGAGAGAGAGATAGGGAGGAAACACTTTAATATTGACTGGCTCATTGTACAATCTTGCCCATTGGGAAAGTAAAAAAGGCACTGTCCTGTCATGAGTGTATTTACAAAGTTGTGATTCTTAAGCTAATTCTGTTCTCTTTTTAAGGAACAGGGTTAAAATGTGTGCACCCCATACCTTCTTTAATATGGCCATTTTAATACATAAGTTCCCCTAGCAGGCATTTACGTATTTTATCACCTCCATTGCAGAAGGTGGTCTGCTAACACTAAGCTTGCCATCGCCCACTGTGGGCAAACGGGGCAGCTGATCTTGCAGCCGCCAGCCCCCACCCTCCTTTTTCTCTTCCCGGTCCAACGTCTAAATAATAGCAGTACCCAAAACTGGCTGCAAACTCCTGGTTGTTGCCACCTCAGATACATGCCTACTGAGCGGGGATTATTTTCAAACACCTTTTCTGAGCAAATTCAAGGAATTTGGGCTTAACTCCATCTGAGTTGTCAATGAGGCCCAAATGGCTTTTTTGTGTGCCCAGCCCCCACTGGTTGCCAGGGGAAAGAGTATTGAGCAGCCAGAGAGAGCTCTAGGAGTTAGGGACATTCAACGGAAGCTACTTTCAAGAATATCCCCTCAGAGCCGACGTTTCAGAATCAGGCGATTCTGAACTACGCTGGCTATTAATGCAATACAGTCACTGTATCTGATAGCAAGAGGCAACAGCAGCATTTTAATCAAATGTACAACAGGACTGTGGAAACCATTTCACAAATACAACAGATATCACCATTTTTCAGATTACTAAACACGATGATAACGGGGGGGAAAAAAAACTTGTCCTCCTCAGATGTATACTGCTGATGAACAATTCACATGAATGCATCATCTGCTCACGCACCCCAATCCCCCTCAGTAATGTAGGAAAGGAATGTGCTTACCCGGCTTGCTGGTTCCAGAAAGCGCTTCATGGTCCAACTGAGGGAAGAAGTTCCCTCTCCCTGCTTGGATTTCACAGTAGGTGATGGACTCTTTGATGGTGGCCCTGGAGGAAGGGGATATTTTACTGGACTCAGTACGTGTTGTCCCCATATGCATTGCTCTATGATATACTTCCAGGCATCCATTGCAGAAGTTCTTTGATACCTACTTTACATTGGATTCAGCCTTCATGTCAGTGAATCTGGTATCACAAACCCCTCATACTGATCCCAATGTGAAATTATACTCTATGTGGCTGTGGAATTTCATATTGATGTGATGCTGCCTCTACGGCAATGCAAAGGTGCCCAGTGCAGCTCAGTTGGTTGAACTGAGACCTGAGGTTCCAACTTCAATTTGGGGTGGATCCACTCAGCCCTTCACCCTTTTGGAGACAAGGCCAGTAAGGCTAGACAGGTCCACAGTCATCCAAATCATTGCTGTTGATTGGTGAGCCTGACCAGCCGAGTACAGCAGTGACACTTGGGAGGTAGATATATCGTCAACTCTGCTCGAGGAGACTCCAGTGAGTTAAATCAGGTCTCTGGAGTGAAGGCAAAGCGACCGTGGTCATCTTTGTGGTCTCCAGGCAATAGAGTGGGGGCTGGTACTTGATGCCTGATGTAATAAAGGTCTCAGGTTCAGTGCCCTGATCTTCATCAAATCTGGTGTCAAGCACTTCAGAACTGAAGCACGGAGTTTGAAGAATTTCTGACTTTCCAAAGCCTTGGAGCTAGGGATATTCTGTTACATTATCTGTAGCATAAGCAATATCCTGCACCTTCAAGCCCCACATTGGGACTTCTGAACTCTCAGCTTTGCTGACCCTCCAGTTCAGGATTCAGGTGGGAGGGGAAAGGGAGACTTTTCAGCAAGACTGCCAGAGTTACCACCCTTTGGACGAGACGTTAAACCTAGGTCCTATCTGCTGTTCAGGTGGCTGTCAAAGATCTCCACACTATTGGAGAAGACCAGGGAGTTTGAATTAGGTAATCATAGCCAGGGCTTTGGTAACAGTATTGCAATTGACCTACCAAAAGAGAAGCAAAAAATCTGAGATTCCTGCTTTTCTTAACCTACAACCAAGCTATTTCTCATGGTCTTAGACTTAAGATGATTGTCTTAAATTTAGGATTGTGTAGAAAGGTGTTAAAACAAAATTAAAATCAATCTTAACTTGCAAGCCACCTTTTTAAGTGCCTCTTATTAAACTGCAGGAAACTGTCTTGTATATTAAGAGAGAATGTAAGAATATTTCCAAATTCTTATATTTTAAGCTGTTGATCTTGAATGACTAAAACAGACAGTCATTAGAGGGCTTGACGTGGAGCGAGCTGTGTTAACTGTACAAAGCTGTGATGTGGAGGCAAAATGCATTAAGTGTTGCACTGCCATTGAACCTCGGCAAAGGTTCACGAACCAGACATTAAAAGCATTTGCCTTCTAACCAGTGACAATGATGAATAGGAGGCAATGATGAGTGGGTGGGGGAGTCAGACATCCACTGAGACACGTTTTATTGCTTCCGTAGAGTAGACAGGGCAGTCGAGGGTCATGGAAATAGCTTTCCAAATTTCCAATTAAGTTAGTTGCAAATCAAGTGACTTTCTCTAAATATGTCAAAATTTACCAAGCCATATAAGGTAATAGCACATAGGCAGCTCCTAAACAGTGCTATCTGCTAGAGTGAAGCTCATCTGCTCAGCATATTTCAAAGTTTCACTGATACATTAAGCCCTGTTAGTTCATATATTACATACAAGGATTATTATTAAAGTCTTTATGGAAGCACAGGACATTGCCCAGCACGTCCCGCCACTAGAAAACTAGACTTTTGCACTTCAAGCACCAAAAAGTTGCACATTTTTAAAAAACACAATTATGTTGCAAGTTACATAGAAATATAGATATTTCTGCACAGAATGAGGCTGTTTGGCCCATCCATTTGTGGCAATGCTGACACCATTTTTATCTGAACCGCCATTTTTTAAACAAAAAAATCACAGAATTACCAAAATGGGGCTCCGGTCAGTCACTAAAGAGGTAGGCTCCTCCCCTTCACACAGAAACAGGGAATATGCAAACGCAACTAAACGCAGTACAAGAGCAACTGCGCTCCACAAGATCCTTCCTTCAGGCCTGAGACATGCTAAGTGATGCTACTCTGCGTGAGGGGTGCAAGATAAATGCAAGTTGTTGTCATCGTTGAGAAACGTAAGCGGTGACACTCTGCGGTACCTGATGTGTGTGACAGCTGCCCGTCCTTGCTCATACTTTCCCGATGAGTTGTACGTGATATCATCTCGTCCATTTCCTGCTCCGAAACCTGCACAAAAAACACAGGAGGAACAAAAAATGAAGTATTTGTTTGTCCCCACTCACCTAGGTCCTGATATCACTCACTTGAGCAACAACAACAACAAGATTCCATTTATAGAGCACCTTTCACATCGGGAGGACGTCCCAAGGCGCTGGACAGTTGGGTCAGGACCCGAGCAGGGGGGAAATGGTCAGGGTGAGGGGAGGGAAGGGAGGGAGCGAGGAGGGGGTAGAGAGTCGAGAGGGGAGCTGAAGGCACGGTCAAAGAGAAAGGTCTTGAGACCGGCCTTGAAGGAGGAAAGGGAGGAGGCGGCGAAGGCACTGGGGGATAGAGTTCCAGAGCCTCGGGGCTGAGAGGCTGAAGGCCCGGCCACCGATGGTAGGGCGGTTGGGGCGGGGATGTGGAGCAGACCGGAGCCAGAGGAACGGAGGGTACGGGCAGGTAGGTAGGGGGATAGTAGGTCGGAGAGGTAGGAGGGAGCAAGGCCGTGAATGCCTTGTAGGTGAGGATCTTGAATTCGATCCTCTAGCAGTGCTAGTGTCACTCACTCGGACCACAATCTTGCTTCCAATAGCTTCTAGTTCAAAGGTTTCTAATTCTTAAACAACTGTTACAAATCTTCTTATGATCTGACAGGAATTTTTTTCTACAAAAAGTTCCTCAGCCCTGAGGAACAGGGGCAAAAAACGCACTTTGTGACATTTATCACCAGTAATATCACGTTGTATTTTTCTCCCACAATAAATACTTATATTTTTGCTACATACTGGTATGTTGGGAACTACCTATGAAGGACATTTGTTTTAATAATCCTTGCATTTAATCTCAAAGTACTTCACAAGATTTTACTGGGAAGTGTAGTGAAGATGTACTTGTAGGTGAATGTGGCAACTGGTTTACGCATGGCAATATCCCACAAATAATGGAGTGACTGACCATTTTAATTGAGGGATTTTTTGCCAGGATATTGGAGGAACTCCTTTCCCCTTTTGAATAGCGCTATGGAATCTTTAACGTCCAGTTGAACAGGCAGACGGGACCTCAGTTTAACATCTCATCTGAAAGCCTGCTCCCAGTATTGTACTGAAGTTTCAGCGCGGGTTATAAGTTTAAAGTCCCATCGTGGAGCTTGAACCCACATATGCTAAAACTGCAAATAAAATTCACAACTCTTTTAACAAAAACAATTGGCAAGATTGAAACAGAGAGCACTTGTATGGTTCTGTGGCTCTGTCTAATCTGGAGTTTATGTTAAATCAAATTCACGCTGCTAACTTTTATTACGATCCAGCTGTAGCCACTGAAAATCATAAGTAGGCTTTATATTAAACCCACGGGGACTGAATGCCATGACTGTCACCCACCTGCACCAACTCAACTCCCTGAAGTGTGAAAAGAAACACTAATTACAGCATTCAGTCCTTTATGCCTCTGCCACCCTGTACAAACATAAAGAGATACTGTTTGGCTTAAAGATTTATTTTAGGGTGTGGGCAATATTAACAAGCTTGCATTGGCAGGAATTGTAAAGCTCCTAATAATCTCAGATTTAGGAAATATCGTTATGCTGCCAATGTGTCCTGGCGTGTGAGGCTGTTTAGCATTACTTGAAAAAGGGGAAGCCCAGAGATCAGATTTCAAGCACACACAGAGGCAGGTTCGTTTCAGTCTATGTCTGTCCACTGACAAGATTCTAGACTGTATAGAAACAGCTGTCACAGATTGTGCAAGAATTCATTCTGGAGGAGCTGTGGCTGGCACTGAGCAATGTTTTCTTAGGAACTTCATTTTATTTTTCTTGCTACTGAAGAGCTGGTTATCAAGGCACTGGCAATTACTTAAAGGGGCAGTATCTTCACTGAAATATTTGGGAAGTTTTTTCCATTGCTTGCACACGCAGAGTGCAACAATGTTATATTACGTTGCAACACTTCATTGGTGTGCCACTATTGTTTTATCCTGCTGCACATTTAAGATCCCACGACAAACATAGAATCATAGAATTGTACAGCGCAGAAGGAGGCCATTCGGCCCATCATGTCTGTGCCGACTCTTTGAAAAGAGTTGTCCAAATCAATCCCACTCCTCGCGCTCTTCCCATAGCCCTGCAAACTTGTCCTCCCCAAATAATTATCTACTATACGAAAAGAGAATGAAGTCCCCCCTCCCATCCAGTATCCTGGCCAACAATCCTTGAGACAGACCTCGAATGTTCTTCTGGTGGGTGCCAGCACTCCTCGCTATCCAAAAGTCAATCGTCTCTTTCAATCTTCAGATGAAAAATAATCCACAGAGCGACTGATGAAGATGTTCACTTTTCTTACCTTGGGGTTTGGATGGCGGCTGATGATGAGGCTGATGGGACCTGGGCCGCATTCGCTTAGGATTGCATAAGCCTCGCTCAGAGCTGCGTGCCGCAAGCTCACTGAGTCCACCTCCAGAACCTGATCTCCACGGCTGTAACAAAATCAAAAGTACTTCAATCACGATCAAGTATGGGGCTTAACATAAACTGAGAAGCATTGAGATGTGTCATGGACTGATCGCTGAACAAATAGCACTCTTTTCACCATGTCCTAAAAGGAACACAGGAACAAAAGTAGACCATTTAACATCCCGCGTCTGTTGTACCATTTGTTAGACAATGGCAGATATTTTAAATCACATTTTCTCTCCCCCGTTTTCTCCATTTACTTTAATACTCTTGCTTCCCAATTCTCTAAAGCCAAGGATGCACTTCCTAAGGTTGGCTCCAAAGTTAGAACCGGAGTACATTTTGCATTTCGTGCATTGATCTGATAACCACATGTTTTTTAAATCCACAATAGAGCCAGTCACAATTTCGATGGATATATTTGAAGAGAAGATAGTTTTCTTCCCCATTGTCCTGTCTAACAATCCTTCAGATGCTCTTTGGAGTAGGGCTGCCTCCTGTCTGCATGATGTGCATCTAGTTGCTCGAAGGGCTTCCCGATGAGATTTCTTAACTAAGAAATCCTGTTAAGAGCTACCACAAAATTGACCCAGTCATATTCTGAACAATCTGCCCTATTCAAAGCGTTCACACTCCATCACTCCATGAAACGTGCAGTATATTTTTACAGTTTAACACTGACTATTACTATTACCTAAGTCTGCCATCCAACTTGGCTACTGATCCAGGAGCAAGGCTATGGATGTAAATTCCTGGGATGCCATTCTCCAGTGTAAGGCAACAGGCACCGAGACCCAGGCCAACTCCAGGCTCTGAAACAAAACAATGCACAGATGTAAGTGTCGTATTCATGAGAGAAACATGGTTCCTGAAGCTTTCCACCCCTGGGTTTCCTTCACTTCATGCCTGAGTCTGTTGTAGATTGATTAATAGAGATTCATAGAATCTTACAGCACAGAAGGAGGTAATTTGGCCCGTCGTGCTTGTGACAGCTCTTTAAAGAGCCATCCAACTAGTCTCACTCACCCGCTCTTTCTCCATAACCTTGAAATTTTTCCTTTTCAAGCATATATCCAATTCCCAGATTGATTGTCATGAATAGTCAATATCTCCGGCATTACTGTAGCATGCGGGTACGAGGATGGTAGAAGGTAAACTAGATGGATTTTTTTTGTCCAGCAATTCCTATGTCCCTATAAAACTTGACCTCGCCCAGAAAAATGTCAAGGTGAAGACAGAAAAATAGAACAATGGCTGCTGCAAAGTGTGGCACAAACTTGTAAAATAATCAACAGGTTTTGAATATCACTAACGACATGGACTGTCACCAGAAACCTTCAGCCATGTTAGTCTGCATTCCCTGCCAGAACCTTTTATACATTCCATTGCCGCTACTTGGTTCTCATGTTCATGACAATGCAGGTAATCAACCACCGCGATGTAGCTCAGTAAGAGGAGACGAGGGCACAGCAAAGTGCTAGACAGGCCATGATGTGAGATATGATCACACAGTAGGTATTTGCATAATATAAAAGATTTTCTTCATGCTGGTTATTGTACCAAGATTCCACCACTCGGTTGTAGAATCCCCATTTGGAGCGCGGCTAGATTTCAACACAGCATTGTTTCCACTTATCACAAATGTCTATCTTTGAAATATCACACTGCAGCCTTTTCCAGTTAAGTACATGATAAAGATCAAAATGAAGAAAACAACTGATCTCATACCAACTGTACTTTCATCCCAATATTAGGATCCAGCTGTTCCGTCAATGAATTCAATGCCCTGGCCGTGTCTACCCTTCTTGGAAACCTTTTTGGGAGAACGAGCTGTGGCTCAGAACTGTATTTAGTTACATATGTCTTGAGCCTTGTTTCACCTTGTTTTGGCCTGTAAGACCACTTTGTCTTAAAATTTAACCATGAAAAATTCAATTCAGTCTTACTTTGGAAGCCAGTTTTCTGCAGCTGTTCAAAAGAAATCACGATCCAAATGGAGACAATTGAAGAATTTGCCAAAGCTCTTTTTCAACAAAATAACCTCGCGGGTCTACTCAGTGGATGGAATTTTGGGGCTCAGAAGTCAGAGCAGCTACTGAAAGAGACACATACACGATGGGCCAAATGGCCTTCTTCTGTGATGTAAATTTCTATGGTTGCAATGTTCTTCCCATCTCCCACCCTCCTCGAGGATGTCTCGCTGGTGAGCAGTTATACAATGTCAGCACAATTTAATTGTGAATGGATCTCTCCCGATGGGGATTACCTTTCTTTAGCGTCACCTCCATGATGATTCGATCTTTAGGTCCCGGGCCTCTGCGACAGGATTCCCCTTCGTCTGAGCCGGGCACTGGGGTTCCACCACTGGCGTTGGAATTGGGAGAACTGGAGCGACTCATCAGTGTGGGGGTGGGACAGGGAGTAAGGCTGGGGCTTCGCAACCTGGTGCGGACAGTAAGGGTCACAACACCTTTCTTCAGTTGCTGAGGGAAGGGAGGGAGACAATGTATAATACAACAACAAAAATTTGCATTTATATAGCACCCTTCACACGGGGTAACATCCTCGAGCGCTTGACTGTGGCGGAGTCTGACCCCGAGCCAGGGGAAGAGGGAGGAGGAGGTGACTAAGCATGATCAAAAGAATGTATTTAGGTGGGATTTGAAAGTGGGGAGGGAGCGAGGGAACAAGGCGGAGGGATTGAGGGACATAGATAAATAGATTGATCAAGCACAATTTTGGAAAGTTCTGAAATTGAACAAAACAAATTGTATTTACGTAGCACCTTTGAGAGGACTTCCCAGGATGCTGGACAGACAAGGACTTGCATCTGAGCTGCGGGTTGGAGTCAAGAGGAGTGGAAGGGAAGGAGGTGGTGGTGGTAGGTAAATGACAGCTAGGATTTGAGCCTTTATTGGAACCCGGTTTCCCACATTTGAAAAAGATCACAAGATTGCTTTGGTTGAAGAAGCCACTTAGGCACATTTGATCTCATCTTCATTGAGCTGATGAGTCCAGTATTGTCGCCTTGCTGTCAACCTGTTCCAGTTATTAATTGTCCTCATGGTTAAGAAATACCTTGTTTTTCCTTGAAAGAGCCCTTTGCAACTCTAAGCCTATGTCCTCTTGTTCTACTGTCTTGGTGCATCTGAAAGTATTGGTCTGTTGATATCAGAGTTGGTGTCCTTTGGATAAGACCTCAAACCTGGGTCAACTGTTCTTCTGGTGGGTGCCAGCACTCCTTGCTATCCAAAAGTCAATTCACTTTACAGTATATTCTGTGAAGCTCTTTGAAATGTCTCAAAGATGTGATAAGGCGCTATATCAAATGCAAGGATTGTTATTAAAAGCGAGGAGTGTTGACCAAAAGTCTAAACCAAAGAATTTATTCTTAATTCTTCATCATCTTAAATGTAATACAATGGTCTTGAGGCCAAGAACATGACGATCTTTGGCTATCTTAGATCCAATAAAGTAGATTGAAAACACCATGTTTTTCTCCCTCTAATAGCTACACAGCTCATTTAAATTTTTTTTTTGCAGGTTTCCAGTGTATTAGGGTCTACAGCACAACACTTGTTATTAAATACTTCAGAATGTATCATGACAGAGAACAAGTGGGCATAGGTTTAGAGTTGCAAAGAGCAATCTCAGGACAGATACCAGAAAGGTTTTCTTTACGCGGGGCGTAATCAATGACTGGTATAGGTTTCCAAGAAAGGTGGTTGAAGCCTGGACACTGGACTCATTTAAAAAGCAGCCTGATGCAGTGATGGGGGGATAGCACGGTGGGTATTCTGGAGGGATGAGATAGGATGGGCAGAAGGGCCTTCTTCAGCCAGACTAATCATGTGAACTTGTGATTTTATACTAATTGGAATTCTCTAGCACAAACCGTGAGGATTGCTGAGCCACACAGCTCTCAGGTTATAAAAGATGATAATGGACCAAAATCACAGTGACCGAATCAATTTAAACGGGACAGATTGTCTATCACAGGGTAGGCTATTGGGAGTTGAGACCAGGGACGTGTGTTACCAACCCCTATGTAACCACGGACGTGATTGATTCGTGCTTTGTGACCAAAGTGTGTGCTTATTAACTTCATGCAAATACTTGCATCTTTGAGTAAGGATGGAAGATGGAAAGTCAAAGTAAGGATCTCAGAGTCTGAAAGACCAGAAAAATCTATAAATCGCCTTGAAAGAGTTTGTAAACTTTTTTTTATAGGGGGCTGTTTAATGGACTGTGTATTTCAATAACTTTAAAACACTTTTGTTTGTGTGAAGAACTTAACGGAAACCTGTGAACAGGCTTATTCAGTGTTCCTATTAGAAGAGAAGGGATTTGGCACAGAAAAAAATGACCCTCAAAGCCTTTGAGACACTGATAGAGTTAATAAACTCTGTTCGTCTGCCAATCATTCAAAATAGCAAACATTGCTTTTTTGTTTTCAAGGAATGGGAAATCACCAATCTGTGTCACTCTTGAGCCTGTGTTTCCCTCCGAGGAGCAATCAACAGCCTCAGAACGCGTCAGGAATTAGTCTTTCCTTGTTTTCGTGTGTAAATCTCAGTGCTTGATAAACAGATGGGTTTTTACGCTCTGAATGCACAAGAGAGGGAGGGACCGGGGCCAGCAGACATTCTCCATGCAAACGACCTCCGCTCTCCCGTGGAGGGGAACAGAGTTACACGGGTTCTTACCTTGAAGGTCTGGATAGCCTGCTGATGGGTCAATCCCTGCAGAGATTCCCCATTAACTTCTAGGATTTCATCTCCTGTGGATTACAGAGCAGTTCCATGAATCCTCGGTGACATTTATACCATTTTGAAGAGACAAAACAGTCCAGTCTCCCTCCCTCAAGCCCCACCCCCCCCCCGATGCTTTCATTAATATTTAAGAAAACACTAATTAAAGACCTTGATTTAATGCATGTTTGCCCTGGCATTAAATGTTTTAGTTCTCAGTTGTGGTTTTATTCATTTAGTTTATAATATACTCTTGCATTTGATATATTACGTTGTCGATACGTCTCAAAGTGCTTTGCAGGATATACTGCAAAGCGGATTGACTCTTTATTTTGTCAGCGAAATGCAGCAGCGAGGTTGTCCCACAATCAGTCATGGAGTGAGTAACCAATTATCTTTGGGAGATTTGTTGGCCAGGACACCGAGAGAAACAGCTTTCACTTTTCGAATCGTGCCATGGGATATTTAACATCCATCTGAACAGGCAGACGGGGCCTGGCCAACAAATCCTACAAATAAAAACTGCTCACTTACTTCACGGCTGTTTGTGGGACATTGCTGTGCAAATTGTCTTCCACATTTGTTCACGAAACACATTTACTGCACTTCAACAACAACAAGATTACATTTGTATAGCGCCTTTCACGTGGGGAGGACATCCCAAGGCGCTGGACAGTGTACAGCATTTCATATCCAAGCTGGGGTTGGGGGGTAAGGGAGGGGAGGGGAAGGGGGTTGCCGATGGCATGGTCGAAGAGGAGGGTCTTGAGGTGGGACTCGAAGGAGGCTAAGCAGGGGGCGAGGCGGAGTGACTGGGGGATGGAATTTCAGAGGTTGGGGACAGAGTGGCTGAAGGCTCTCCCGCCAATGGTGGGGCGGGGGACGTGGAGCAGGCCAGAGCCGGCTGAGTGGAGGGAACGGGCGGGTTTGGAGGGGGTTAAGAGGTTGCGAAGGTAGGGTGGGGCGAGGCCATGGAGGGCTTTGTATGTGAGGACACTAGATCCTCTGAAGGATAGGGAGTCTGTGGAGTCGGGCGAGAGTGGGAGAGATAGGGTCACGGAGTTTGGGCGGGAGAGGAGTTCTGGATTATCTGTAGCCTGTGGAGGGAGGAGTTGGGAAGGCCGACAAGCAGGGCATTTGCATAGTCGAGCCTGGAGGTGATGGAGGCACGAACAAGAGTTTCAGCGGCCTGAGAAGTGAGGTAGTGGCGGAGTCGGGCGATGTTACGGAGGTGAGGGAAGGCAGAGCGGGTCATGACTTGAATGTGGGGGAGAAAAGACAGTTGAGGGTCGAACAAGACACCTGGGTTCCTGACTGGCTTGGTGAGTTGTAGTGTGCAAGCATGGAGGTTGATGCTGCCAGAGCCTGTAAAGGTTACTGTAAAGCGCTCTGAGACACCGTCCAGCGTGGAGGGCGCTATATGAATCCAAGTTGTTGTTGTTGTTGTAGCCAGGAGTCCTGGCACGAGCCAATCAGGAGGGCCTCAGTCTTGTTCACATTCAACTGTAGGAAATTTGCCCTCATCCAGGACTTGATGTCCAACAGGCAGTCTGTCAGGACAGCAGTGGTCCTGGAGTTGAAGGTGGAGGCAGAAAGATAGAGTTGGGCGTCATCAGCATACATGTACATCTTGTACATCCTGTGAAGCGTTTTGAGACATCCAGATGTGAAAAGTGCTATACTAAATATGAGGATTATCATTATTGTTATTGTCAGTACTGGGTTCATGTCATCAGGATTTCACTGCAGCTTCAGTAAATGCAGAAAGATCCTCATTCACTGAAGCGCCTCCACCTACACATTCTGTCAAGAGTGAGATGAATTCCTCCAGGGAGAGAAGGCAGGCGGTTTCTCCCTGCACAACAGATGCTAACTGACACCTTGGAAAAATGAAATGTGCTTCTTGGCAGTAATTAATACTAAGCTCCTCACAGCGGGACAGTGGGACCTCCAGCAACCTGCTTAAGCCTCTGAGGCAGAGTAAGTTTTCACTGACACAGCATGACAGGAGATTTATAGAATCAATAAAAAGAATTGATTAAAAGGAACCGCAGTTAGGAGGATAATAAGGTGCAAAACAGCGAGTGTTTAACGAGAAAACATGCTGTTGTGTTACTGGAGCAATTAACTAACTAACTGACTGACTCACTCACTAACTAAGTGCAGTTAATTAGTAACTAACTAATTAATTGCCCGCTGTCAGTGTGAGGAGGGTTCTCATTCCTTTTGTGGGAATTTAAACACCATTCCCTCAAAAATCTAGGCAAACTGGCAGAAAGTCAAGTTTAGGAAGAAAACCAACTTCAAGAAGAATCAGAGTAAAATGATTTGCTGTATCAAATGCAAGATTATTATTAGTAGTAGCATTTTTAACAGAGAAAGAGGTGGTGCTTTTCTATGCTGTCACATGAAGTTGCACAGCACAGAAGAGACTATTTAACCCAACTAGTCTGTGCCAATGTTTACACTCCACATGAGCCCTGACACCTCCTATTCTCCTCTCCTATATCAGTCTTGTCCCATCTCCCTCATACATGCATCAGGTTTTCTCTTAAACGCACTGATGCTTTTTTGTTTCAACTGCAGCTTCCAGCAGTGAGTTCCGCATTCTCACCACCCTCTACGCCAAAAACATCCTCCTAAACTCCCTATTTCTGCTGCAAGACACGCACACACACCCCTCGTGCTCACTCACGATACAAAGGACAAAGGCATCACTGTTGACTGGAACTAGAAATTATTATTGAATAATAGTAATGATGGATTTATGAATAATAATAGGATTTCCCTCCAAAAATTAATATTAATTTGGCCACTCAATCCCCGAGTGTTTGTGAGACACTGCTGTGCGCAATTGGCTGCCGCGTTCGCCCACAAATATACAGTCAATCCAATTTACAGTATATCCTGTGAAGTGCTTTGAGACGTCCACATGATGTGAAAGTCCTGTGGAAAATGTGGAGTTCTGTAGCTCAGTGGTTAGAGCACTCGCTTTGCAAGTGAGAGACCTGAGTTCAATCCCAGGCAGGGCGAAACCTTGGGCAAGTTTCCTTACTCCACACGCCTAATAATAATCCCTCCAAAAACCAAAAACAATAATTAAATTGGTCATTTTCAATCTACAACTGTTTGTGGGACATTGCTGTGCGCAATTGGCTGCCGCGTTCGCCCACAAGTATACAGTCAATTCACTTTACAGTGTGTTCTGTGAAGCACTTTGGGACGTCCTCCCGAAGTGAAAAGCGCTATATCAAATCCAAGGATTATTATTATTATTATTATTAAAGGTACTTCACCAAATGTGGAGTCCTGTAACTCAATGGTTAGAGCACTCGCCTTGCAAGCAAGACACCTGGGTTCAATTCCAGGCAGGGCGAAACCTTGGGCAAGTTTCCTTACTCCACACGCCTGATAATAACCCCTCCAAAAAAAAACAATAATTGGTCATTTTCAATCCAAGACTGTTTGTGGGACATTGCTGTGCGCAATTGGCTGCCGCATTTCGTCCACAAATATAGAGTACCAATTCACTTTACAGTATATTCTGTGAAGCGCTTTGAGACGTCTAGAAGACGTGAAAAGCACTATATCAAATGCAAGGATTATTATATCAAATGCAAGGATTAGTATTCTTTCCTCATTTGCTCTAAGCCAATTGTTCACTGGTAGAGATGAAACAAACACTAAAAGGAGGATATCTGAGTGACTGTGACATTCTCAGCCCCCACCTCAACCCCCACCCCCTTCCCCACATTGCAAAGGGTCTTGAAATCCATCAAAGATTTTGAGCGGCTGCTTTAGCTACAGTTGGGCGACCAGCCAGGGTTTTTTTTGGAGGAGTTCTCATGAGAAGCCAAAAACAATGAGCTATCTTGGAGAAGCCACCGCACCGCTCCCTGGAGCCAAGATCTTCAATGCCTTAAAGTCGCATTAATAATAATTATCTCTAAACTAACACTGAAAAATTAACGGGGTCATCAGATACAGCACAAACCGTGTCTGCCTTATTGACCCACGAACCCACTTACAAGGGTTTGGTTGCAAGCCACGAAAAAAATGGCTTATGTTACTGTCATCAAGCATCATGGATGGAAATACTAGCTGCGCTACATTCAAAGGAGTTAATAGTTTTCTATGTTTAGTTTACATGAAAGGATATCAAATTCTTAAGTATATAAGGACAAGTTGGAACAACAACTCTTGCAAATGCCCATCTGCTATTGTGCTAAACCCTTGGTTTGAGATGCTGATCATTGTCACTGAAACAAAATTGACCTCCGCTGCCCCTGAGTGATTCCATCCTCCCTCAGAGAGAGTTACACCCCACTGGGATGGGCCGAAGAGGTCACACAAAAGCAATATAACACATTTGTAACACGATGTATGCTTGGATAAATGGTCCAGTTTCACCAGAGAGCAAGATCACAAATAGAATACAAATTTACATTTATGTAGTGTATTTCATGACGAGAAGACGTCCCAAAGCGCTTAACAATACTGCCTTGCCACCTGAGCTGGAGGTGGGAGCTGATGGGAGTGGGGAGGGGAAATATAATAATAATAATCCTTGCATTTGATACAGCGCCTCATCTCGTCTTCGAGATGTCTCAAAGCTCTTCACAGGATATATTGTAAAATGTAGTGACAGCGTATTTTGTGGGCAAAACATGGAAGCAAATTGCACCCAGCAGTGACCCACAAACAGCCGTGGATTAAGTGACCAAATTATTATTATTATTTTTGGGAGGGATTATTACCCCCAGAAAGTGATCTGCCAATCGACTAACAACCAGGTTATGAAATACTGCTAGGTAAACAGAGGTGTGTGGAGTAAGGAAACTTGCCTAAAGTTTCACCCTGCCCAGGAATCAACCCCAGGTCCAATGGCTTGCAAGATGAGTGCTCTAACCACTAAATTACGGAACTCTATAAGAGGTCACGTAAAGATAACCAAAAGCATGGTCAAAGAGGTAGGTCTTAAGGCTGACCTTAAATAATAGGATTAAAGCCAATTCAGATTGTGATACCGAACCTCATGGGATCAACTTTGGACCCAATCATTGTGACAAATTCGGGAAGAGCAATGGGGAGGAAGGAAGTGCTTATGTCCACAGTCTTCGGGAATAGATGGAAAAATGCAACATCACATCACAGATTCAAGAATACATTGAATATTCATTGGATCTGATGTGCAACTTTGCGTGCTTCACTTCAATATTTGTCAGAAGCGAGCAAAATCAAAGCCAAAGTAAAATTATTTGCCGCTATTAAATTTTGCTGGAATAACAAACTAGCTGGGCTCAAGGATCAGATTTCTGACCTTCCTTCAGTCTCCCGTCAGCAACAGCCGCTCCGTTTGGAAAAATAGTTTTAACAAATATTCCCATCCGGCCTCGAGCAGAATCCTGGCCACCAACTATGCTGAATCCAAGACCCTGCAAAACACACCAGAAACTATACAAAATCAATAGGATGTCAGTATTGGTTTGAGTAATAATAATAATTTCATATAGCACCTTATCACATCTTTGAGACGTCTCAAAGCGCTTCACAGAATGTACTGTAAAGTCAATTGACTGGATATTTAGTGCCTTGTATAGAGTACAAACAACAACATCCGCAAGAAACAAATGGAGGATAGTTCAAAGGTCAGTAAAGCTGCAGAATGTCACGTCAATTGAACTGTAAAAATCTGTTTCCAGCTCTTCAGAAATTGCCTTCTTCAGGATAAGAGCCAAATGTTCAATCACTCTATAGACACACATGGTTCAAACAACTCTGGTGCCTTTTATTCACGAGGATATTGAGGCAGCTCTATAAGGAAAGAGGGTCAACTGGATCTTAGACACATAAGGTGTATTTTTAACAACGGATAAAGACATTGAGGGATCGTGGAGTAAGCTGCAGATACATTCAGGTACTCAACCCTCAAAGTGGCAGCTTTCCTACTGAAGTGACTTGTATGCAGTTCTCCATCCCAAGTGAAAAAGCTTTCCTGCAATAACAAGGTTTTAACGCAGTCTCCCAGTTAAAATGAGCCAGGGAATCAACATGTTTCAAAAAAAGGAATAGGTGTCAGCCTGGTTCATTTGGTAGCACTCTCCCTCTGAGTCGGAAGGTTGTGTGCTCAAACCCCACATCAGCTTCTTGAACTCAAAAATCTAGGCCGACACTCCAATACTGTGGCGGGGGAACACTGCATTGTTGGTGGTGTCGTCCTTTGGACAAGACATTGAAACCGAGGTCCCATCTGCCTGTTCAGATGGACATTAAATATCTTGAAAGAGATATTACTCAAAAAGAGAAGGGAGTTCTCCTGGTGTTGTCATCAGTTATTTGTTTCATGGTATTTGTGGGACATTGCTGCGAGCAAATTGATTTCTGCATTTGCCTATAGTCGTTACACTTTCAAGTAAATCCTGTGAAGCTCTTCAAGACATCCTCCTGACATGAATATATCATATGCAAGTGATTATTGAAAGAGAAGTGAGTTTCTCCTGGTGTCCTGGCCAACAATCCACCAGATAAAATTGGTAACTCACTCCATGGCTGTTAGTGGGATATTTCTGTGTGCAAACTGGCTGCAGTGTTCGAATACACAGTTATTATATTTCACAGCATATCCTGGGAAGCTCTTAGAGACATACTCTCGGTGTGAAAGGCACTGTATCAAATGCAAGGTATAATGATATATAACATATAATTTCAATAATTACTTGTAATAACAACAATTATAATAAGAAAATCAACGCTCTTCAAGACAGGAAGGACATTAACTGTAGAAGGAGATCAGTGTTACCTTTCCTTGTCCTTTCATCAGAACAATGTTGGAGATAATGGATGGCTGTGCCAGTCGCCATGGCGATTCCACTTGAACCGTGCTTAAGGAACGTGCCGATTTCTTTACTATTTGATACTCCTGAAAAAAATATACAAAGAATGACAAAATGGAGTGGACTTAGAAGCCAGATCATCTCACTCATTAATATCAGCACAAACTTGGGATTCCTCCAGTGATGATACTCTAGTCTGTCGGGCAAGCGCTGATCACTTAACTTAAGAGATATTTTTGTCTTTGTCTACAACGATAAATCCCTTTATAAACGAGTAACAAAACTATTATATCCATTCTTAGCGATTGATGTGTGAGGCTTTATTTCTTTTATTTAAAGTTTTATTTATTTTATTTTTATTTCTAAAACATATTAGGTTTTGTTTCTAAGCGCACTGCAAGAAATTCACTGCACATACATGAGAGCCTTCCCACGTGCCAACCAGCTATTTTGGGGTGAACGGGTCACCACTTCCTGTTAATTGTGAGGAAGCAAAGCAGGCAGTGAGGTCGGTGTCGATATGATGACGCAGAAGGTGGCCATTTTAGCTTCCCATTAAAAAATGGCCAATTTCTTGCTAATTAGGTCGCTACTCCCTCCTCTTCGGCCTGTTTTTTAAGCACGGGCACCACATGGTCCACCTTTGAGCGTGCATAATGAAACTGTCTACTGGGCCTCACAACAACTGGGATTTCATGGATCCTAACCACCTCGTTAGAATGAGGCTCTACTGCAGTTTTCCTCCACACCCATCAATGTCGCCATGGTGACCGAGGCAGGCATGAAAAATGGCCGTCCACACACCTGCCTGGTGCCCACCGCATCCAGCTGCTGTGGAAGGGAGTGCTTCCGCCCACCTCGTGCCGGCTTCTCTGGCATCTCGCAACTCGTTTCACCGTTCTCCACGATCAGCTCGTCATCTTCGCCCACAGACTCCAAGCGGCTGCCTCCACCTGGCAGAAGAACAGCGAGAGAGAAGTAAAGCTTTCAGCTCCTCTGCTGCCAGAAAGAGTTGGGCTCAGCGTTACCTCAACAGCAGCTAAATTACTTTTGTGTCAGGCCTTCGGGGAGCTGACCGTCAAAGAAAAAAAAGACAACCAGTCCCACCAAACATAATCCAACAACGATTGCCTACAAAACACAGAGTCACCACACTTTACAGTACTTCCTGTTAAGCACTTTGAGACGTCCTCCTAATGTAAAATGCTCTATACCAAATGCAAGGATTTAAAAAAAACACACATAGCAAATTCAAACCTTCAATAATTAAGAGCTGAAAAAGTGCTCCTGTGGAAAACTGGTAGCTCACTGCCGGAAAAAAGGCATCTCACAAGATAAACTCTGCTTTCTCCAGAGAATCCTCTACATCTGTTACACAGACTACAATTCTGACCTGAGACAAGCTGAGCTCTAACACTGTGGTGAGCGGGTAACCTTCACAGTATCTGAAGCCACTTCAAGCTGAATTACGTTGCTCTCTATAACACCTTGCTCTAGGGTTCTGTTGGATGCTCTGGTTGCAGATGAACAGTTTTTGCTATATTTATGCAGCAGAATCTGTTTGGCTTTTGGCTTGCCTCGTGCTTTAACACAAATTCTGGCCCAGTGTGATGTATTTTCTTCTTTTCAGGGGAGTGGGAAACTGTCTGGAACTTTTGGACATAAAGAGAAAAAGGAATTAACTGTACATTTGTCTAAATCCAGACTGTGTTGGCAGTACACTGGCCCAACATCTTGAGCCAGTAACCGGATTTAGACGAATGACACACCTTGAGATCTGCTTCTGAACTTCATTGCTCCACTGCCTGGCGTAGGACTGCGGCAGGTCTTCAGAGGTACGTCCACATGACCTCGGTCGTCCGTTTTATCAGTTTCAGAAACCTGCAGCGCAAAACCAAACAGAGCCAATGAGCCTCAAGTGACACATGCTGTCTGACACTCACCTCCCTCCACTCTTACTCCGTAGGCCTCTTCCCTGATACAATTTAATCTTTGAAATCGATCACATCGATAAATTGGCCGTGTGTAATGGTAACCACACTGCAGAGTAACGCTTCTCCTAAGCAGCTCATCCCCAGAGAAACTGACTGCTGCTTTACATTAACAGGATGCAATGTTGAGTGTGTGAGTGAGAATCAAACCCAGAAATTATTCAGTCCGAACCTTGAGCTTATCCAACTGAATTACAATAAGATTGTGGCCCTATATTAGAAAGGCTCAAAACATTTGTCAAAAACAAGGAGGTTGGTAAGATAATAATACAACAACAAAATTACATTTGTATAGCGTCTTTCACATCAAGAGGATGTCCCAAAGCGCTGGACAATCAGTGTTTCGGACCCAAGCTGGGTAGTCGAGATCGGGGAGGATGAGTGGCAGAGGGGAAGGAAGGTGACTGAAGGCACGGTCGAAGAGGAGGGTCTTGAGACGGGTCTTGAAGGAGGCAAGGGAGGGGACGAGGCGGAGGGACTGCGGGATGGAGTTCCAGAGGGTGGGGGCAGAGAGGCTGATAATAATAGTAATATTAAGAAATAATAATACTTGCAAAGGATTTGGTGCTTTATCATGTCATCAAGAGGTCTCAAAGACCTTACAAGATACAAGTGAAGTGACTATATGTTTTGTGGACGAACATGGCAGCCTATTGATGTGTCCCTTCACTCCCTGGCACCTCCCTACCTCATCAACCTCCTCACTCCCTAATCCACTACCCAGCGCCTCTGCTTGACTGGCACCAGCCTCCTTCACGCTCTCCCTCAATCCCTCCACATTTTCCCCTTTCTCATCTTTTTCAAGACCCTAAAAACCTGAAAACCCTCCTTTTCGACCGTGTTTACAGTCACCTTTTCCCACTCTGGCTCATAGTTAGGCTCCGCCACTGTTAAGCGCTTTGAGACGCTGCCCTGCATGGAAGACGTTATATAAGTGCAATATTGTTGTTGATTACTCTGTTCACCTAGCAGTAAGTTGGAACCCAGTTGTTAGTCGATTGGCAGATCACTTTTCTAGGGGTAATAAACCCTTAAAAAAAAACTTGGTCACTCAATCCACTACTGTGCGCAATTGGATGCCGCGTTTCAGCCACAAAAAACATACAGTCAATTCATTTTACAGTACATACTGTGAAGTGCTTTGAGACGTCTCAAAGACGTGATAAGGCACTATATCAAATGCAAGGATTATTATTATTATTTATCAACTATTTGTGGGGCACTGCTGTGCGTAATTTGGCTGCCGTGTTTCGTGTACAAAACATACAGTCAATTCACTTTACAGCATATTCTTTGAAGCGTCTTAAGACATCTCAACGATGTGATAAGGCGCTATATCAAATGCAAAGATTATTATTATTACAGTATGTGAAGTACTCACTAGCTCAACCAAAACCCCGAGGTACAGAAGCAATCTAGATCACAAATCTCTAGCCATCAAGGGGAGACTGGCGAGAAAGCACATCGCCCTGTTCTGAACAGCTCTGTTCCTGGAGCTGGAATTAATCTGTTCCTTTGGCTACAAGCCCTCCTTATATAATGAGATGATTATTACCACATAAGAAATGAGAGTTCGAAGCCATTTATAACGATAAACTTTTCCAAGGCACATCTGTGCGATGCCCAAACGGAAAAGTGTTGAGAATACAAAAACTGAAGGGGACAGAAAAATGCATAAACACAATAAATTATACATTTTATAGAGGTAGAAAAAAATCTCTCTTCTAACAAGGATACAGTAAATCTGTGTGTTACATGCATAAACACACAGCAACACTTTGCTAATCTATGCCATCGTTAAACATTAGGAATAACAGAAACCCAAGGAACAGGCTTGAAGCATCTACTGGTCTCAGTTGCTAAATTAGGACTATTATTATTGATAACTACTGTGTGTTTCCCATCAACTAGTCAATTAGTAGTGCAATTTATAGTTTCACCCTGGATCACATAAGGTTTTGCAATAGCCATAAGGCTCCTGAAAACCATTATATCCACTACCTTATATTCACAACTCTGCTGTATCCTCGGGCAAATCCAATAAATCTCTTGGCCATAATAATATGCCTTTTCTGAACCCGCACTGGCTTGGCTATATTTTCTACAATCTAATAAACAGTTGAATTTGATTTTTTTTAAACTAAAGAGTTAAACTCAGTGAGAAAGTAAACTGGCCAGTGTGTTATTGAGCCGGAAGACCAGGAAGTAACTTCAGCTGGGCTGAGTTGTATCTTAGATAAATTATAGAAGGGACATGACAGTTGGACTGGAAGGGGTTAAATAACCCTGGCCCAGTTTTTTCCACCAAATGTTGCGCTTAATGAACACTGGAATCTCATTCACAGGATTTCTTGATGGGACTCCACAACAAGCAATTCCTATTGGTCCACGGGAACTTTGCTCCAAAAATAGAAGAATAACCCTTACGATCCTGACACTTGGTACTGAACAGCGCCTTTCACTTCAGGAGAGCGTCCAAAGCGCTTCACACGATTTACACAGGTCTGTGTGTTTTTTCTCGAATATGATTGTGTCAGAGTGGAACTCCCACAGATCAGTGTAAGGAACTCCAGGTCACTGGAAGGAGTCCTCTACGGCACGTCTCGGGATCTTTATTAAGAGACAGTTTTAAGAAATACCACGAATAAGACACCATCTTTGGGGGGGTGGTTAGAAAAAAGGAAGCTCTATGTTGCACCTTCACATGCCAATTATAACATGTGAGCCTTTGGTACAGAACTCGGCACCAAGGGGAGGGGCAAATTGGAGACCCCATCAGCACAAAGTAAATTAAGCCAAAATGTCATGCCTTTGGAACAGATAATAATAATAATTATCCTTGCATTTGATAAAGCGCTTTTCACGTCTTATAGACGTCTCAAAGCGCTTCACAGAATAGACTGTAAATTGAATTGACTGTATATTTTGTGGGCGAAACGCAGCAGCCAATTGCACACAGCAGTGTCCCACAAACAGTCGTGGATTGAAGTGATCAAATTATTATTTTTTTGTTGAGGGTTTATTATCAGGCGTGTGGAGTAAGGTAACTTGCCCAAGGTTTCTCCGTGCCGGGAATCGAACTCGGGTCTCTCACTTGCAAGGCGAGTGCTCTAACCACTGAGCTACAGGATTCTGATGTCTCCCTCCATAATGGGAGACATCGGAAAGTGGCAGCTTTTGAGAAGAACAAGAAGGGCCAGAGAAAGAGGGAGCATCTGATTTCTTTAACTCTGGAAAAGGTACAATTCCTCCAGCTCTTTTCTCTTGTGCCAAAGGTTGTTTCAGGATTCTGAACATCTGTTTTACAGTTTATACTGACGTCATGTGGAAGGTTGAGATTTATTTAAGTGTTGCCAGTGGTGGAATGTTGATGACCCCGTTTACAATTTTCACAAACCAAGTTGCCATTTGGAGCAGTTTTGTTGAGCAATGGCCACATTGTGAAATGATAAGCCACACAATGAGGTCAAAGATTTGATAATTCCTAATTTGATAGGATTCCTTCCTCAATAGTCTTGGCTGAAACTCCAGGACAGTATTGGTGAATCGCTGCATTGTTGGAGGTGCTGTCGTTCGGATGCAACTTTCAAACCAAGGACTCTTCCGGTTGCTTTCCTGCTGAAGAGGACACGGCCTGCGATTGAAGGGGGATAAATCCAGAACGAATCTACACAAACACTATTTCAGTGAGTGAATAGTGAACCTGTGGAACAGGCTCCCTAGGGAGATGGTTGAAGCAGGAAGTGTTGATTCTTTCAAACACAAATTAGATAGTTTTCTTTTAGGAAATAACATAGGTAGTTTGGGACATATGTGCATGCTACCGCCAGGAAGGTGGAAGGTGAACTAGATGGACCTTCATCTGTTTTTGTCTAGCATTTCTTATGTTCTTGTTCGTATGAATGTTCTCTTGACACCATTCAAACAATAAAAGGCAGCTTCTCCTGGTCATCAATCCTCCACATAAAAATCAAGTTGTTCATTTCATGGCTGTTTGTGAAACTTTGCTGTATACAGAATGGTGGCTGCATTTGTTTACAACATACAGGCAATGCACTTGACAAAAATTACTGTAAATTACCTTTAGGGTATTTTTTTCCTTTTTCACTCATTAACAATCCAACCAGGGAATTTGGGAGACATTTTCTCCCATTCTGACAGATAATGACTTCCAAGATGTAACTGGCTTCTCCTCAGACCTGCACATTACAATTTAGTATTTCTGGCAATTGTACTTGAATCATAGACCCTTCGGTCGTGTAGAATAAATGCTACCCAGGGCTATAACTTACTATGTACCATTCTTCGATGTGCTTCTCCAGGCCCGGATGTCTCCTTGTTTACAATGGGCCCTGATCACTTTCAGAACCCTGTCTTTATTTAAGCAGAAATAACACTAAATAGATTAGTAAAGAATCATACCTTTTTCCTAACTACAGATACACCCGGTTTATCAAAGCAAATTCTGTTTGTCTGAGACTTCCCATAGGTCATGAAATGCTGTTACCATTAAAGTTCCCTTGTCAATGTATGAGAGGTATTAAATGGATGGAGCACCTGGAGGGATGAGATCAGGTGGAGCTTTCTTCATCTAAGCCAGTCTTGTGACCTTGTTGGCTGATATGATAATAATAATCCTTCATTTGATACAGCTCCTTATCACGTCTTTAAACATCTCAAAACGTCTCAGGTCTGAGGAGAAGCCAGTTACATCTTGGAAGTCATTATCTGGCAGAATGGGAGAAAATGATTCCCATTTACACTGTAAAGTGAATTGATGTATATTTTGTGGGCGAAACGTGGCAGCCAATTGTGTCCCACAAACAGTCGTGGAATCAGTAACCAAATTATTATTATTTTATTTGTTTTTAAGGGACTATTACCCCCGAAAATGCAATCCGCCAATTAACGAACAACTGGGTTCCTATTTACTGCTAGATAAACAGAGGCATGTGGAGTAAGGAAACTTGCCTAACGTTTCGCCCTGCCTGGGAATCAAATCCGGGCCCTCTCGCTAGGGAGGCGAGTGCTCTAACTAATACACTACAGGATTATCACTAGCCAATCATGGGTGAGGGGGGCTAGGGAGAGGAAGACAATGTTATACCATTTCCCTTCCCCTGTGATTTTGTGATTTACAAGGGTTTCTTTTGCTACACTGTAACATTTAAGAATAAAACCACTCCTGGTGTATTGCCTTTCTGTAGATTCCAATGGCAGATCCCAAATTATTTTTCCTTCAGACCAGGAAGGGTATGGTTGCTTTCTGTACAGTTGTGCAATTTTCTTATTAGATTCTGCAAACATGTTTAGCACGTGTTTGCGGTGCAGTAGGGAATGATTTCTCCCAGACGGCAGCACTTCAGGCATCTACAGCAATTTCAAACCATTTGGCTAATGATCAAATCATTATCCTGCATGCCATGGTTCAGAATTCATTTTCTTCATCAGACATGGATCTGTGAGGGTGTAGATTTACTCTATTAGCAGCTCAGAGTCTCTGGAATTTGGGAAGTTATTGAATTCAACCTTAACTTTGAAGCCAGTTTACACTAGATCTTAGATAGGAAAATTACAGAAAAACGGGCTTTGAAATTAAGACTTGTATTTGAGAATTTGCAAAATTCTGGAGCCTGTTAAATGGTAAAAAAATAAGAGGATATGTCAGCCCAGTTAGGCTTTCTCCCCCTGTATTCTTTATAAAACAGAACCCACAATGCCTCCATGGGCAAAGCTTGTTTGTTTAGAATGCAGTCTTGCGCAAAACAAATTGGTTCGCCATTTGGATCATCAAGTCCCTGGCGACATCATGTCCTGCTTTTGCAAATAGGAAGCAATGTCGGCAGTGACCTGATGACCCAGGAGTCGGACATTTTTACAATGAACAGTGAAACTGGTTGTCGGACCTTGTTTTATGGATCCCAATACAATAACCAGTTGTTAGTCGATTGGAGGATCGCTTTTCCGGGGGGATTAATTCCTTCAAACTAAGTAATAATAATTTGATCACTCAATCCATGACTGTTTATGGGACACTGTTGGGTGCAATTAATTGGCTGTCGCGTGTCACCCACAAAATATACAGTCAATTCTCTTTACAGTATTTTCTGTGAAGCGCTTTGAGACGTCTCGAAGACGCTGTATGAAATTCGAGGATTATTATTATTGACAGAGCTCAATGTTAATCTTGAATTTTCGAATTCAAGATCCTCATCCTCACCTACAAGGCCATTCACGGCCTTGCTCCCTCCTACCTCTCCGACTTACTATTCCCCTACCTACCTGCCCGTACCCTCCGTTCCTCTGGCTCCGGTCTGCTCCACATCCCCCGCCCCAACCGCCCTACCATCGGTGGCCGGGCCTTCAGCCTCTCAGCCCCTAGGCTCTGGAACTCTATCCCCCAGTGCCTTCGCCGCCTCCTCCCTTTCCTCCTTCAAGGCCGGTCTCAAGACCTTTCTCTTTGACCGTACCTTCAGCTCCCCCCTCGACTCTCTACCCCCTCCTCGCTCCCTCCCTTCCCTCCCCTCACCCTGACCATTTCCCCCCTGCTCGGGTCCTGACCCAACTGTACAGCGCCTTGGGACGTCCTCCCGACGTGAAAGGCGCTCAATAAATGGAATCTTGTTGTTGTTGTTGTTGTTAATGAGGACAGTCAGTGTGTGATTTTCAACTCCTTAAGCTTGCCTGGGGAGATAGGCAGTAACACAAGCCAGTAAATCTCATGCAAGAGGAAGCATCACCAACCCTTCCACTGACCCGCAGGCAATTTTCATCTGTTGGCTGCGGGCAAACTGCGTACACAGTCAGAAACATGCTTCAAACAGCTGTTATATGCCTGCAGTGTCTTCAATTGCACAAGCATGTTCCAATCTGGCTGTACACCACACTCCCTAAGGTAGCGGGAGTTCAACGTGACAGATGGGCATGGAGTTTCTTTCAGAAATTCAACAGACATGATACATACAGGAAGCAGATAGAGTAGCAATTTATGTTTGGACCCAAAACTTCATTCCTTCCATTTGCGCTGTTGACACTGGTACTCAGCACCTAATCAAAAATGAGCCTCATTTAATATTTTTTTAAATAAAAAATTGTAGATTAAATCACCCAACAGTATCATGTTGCTCATGAATGCCAGTCAAGCTTGTTCACACAAAGCGTTTAGCCCATTGGAAATGGGCAAATCACCCATAAGAAATGCTAGACAATAAAAGTCCAAAGTCCATCTAGTTTGCCTTCTACCTTCCTGGTGGTCGCATGAACATATGTCCCAAACTACCCATGTACTATATCCCATAACATTATTGAAGACAGAGATTTAAATTTGTGGCCATCAGATTAGGAATCCTATAGTCCAGCACTGATCAAAGCATCATCTTTCTGCATGTGGCACCATACATTGGTGAGATAGGACATGTCATCTCCCAGATGCAAGTGTCAGTTAGAACTACATCACTGTTCAAAAAAAAGGAAGTTTCTCTCGGTGTCCTGGCCAATAAATCCTCCAAATAAAATTGGCCATTCACTTCATGGCTGTTTGTGGGATATTGTTGTGTGCAAATTGGCTGCCGCTTTTGCCCACAAAATACAGTTACTACACTTTACAGTATGTGTTGTGAAGTGCTTTGAAATGTCTCTTGATGTGCTGCAGCAAACGCAAGAATGTTTATTATAGAAATTGGCTTTTTGTGGGACATTGCTGTGTGCAAATTGGTTGCCACGATTTCCTACAAATACACAGTCACTATACGTTACACTAAAACTCTTGTGAAGCACTTCATTACATTTCGATAAGGTGCTTTATCAATGCGAGGATTGATATAATTAATGCCGATGACTTGTATTTAACAGGGTAAAGTTCTCCCCTGTGAAGTAGATACATTGAGAAATAAGTTTAACAGTGCCAGTAAATGAACCTCAGCACTTACGCTCTCTTGATCTTGGCAAGGGTGGGGTTCCGATACACAGTCCCCATCGTCTGGCTCCACATTTTCCTTATTTTCCGTGGGAGAAGGGGAGGGGTCAGCAACTGAGAAATTCGTCACTAAATCCGGTAAACTTGTGGAAGGGCATTTCTGGAAGGGAACATCCAATTCACTCTGCGAAGAGGAGGAGAAGAAAAAAATATCACATTGTATGTCACGGTAGCTATCTATGGCAGTGGTGGTCAACAAAATAAATTTTCTTGATTGAATGTTTCTTGATTCATGGCATAAACCAATATCCAATCAAGAGAAAACTGAAAACATAATATAATTTGAACACTGTTTTACTTAGACTTGTGTGAATGTTTGGGGCGGGAAGGAGGGGTGCACACTTTTTGAGGCCACATGTGGCCTGCAGGCCACAAGTTGGTCACCACTGGTCCGTGGCCTCTACGGCGGTCACTTTTATATGATTGTGAAATGTTTTCAAGTGTGTTTTTCAGTCCCACTTGCTTCAGGTGTCTTCTCCTTGCCCCCACCTCTCAACCCTCATTGTAAAGCTATTTCCTTTGCAGCAATGTTCCCTCAGCACCAAAGCCAGGCAACCCAGCCTGCCCTCTGTTTGCCTGAAGTGCACATTGCTTGTGGTGTGTGGCTCACATGGAGTACAATGTGATGCCCTTCTAAGAGCTATCAAGCTTCACTGCACCCATTAACATGTCGTGCCTTTCATGTCGGGAGGACGTCCCAAGTGCTATAATGTACAGCAATGATGAGATAGCAAGGAATGAAAAGGTAGGGGAAACTAATGTTAATGGGAAATGTAGGTCAATTTTGCAGTATCATAGAATCATAGAATTATACAGCACAGAAGAAGGCCATTGTGTCTGTGCCGGCTCTTTGAAAAGAGCTACCCAAATCAATCCCATTCTCCCCTTAGCAATTTAGTATTTCTTAGCAAGTTTTCATTGAGACATCTGGGAATCCATGACACAGACCTGCAGGAACATTCAAACTCAATCGATTTTCAGAGTGGATTTACCTTGAGTCAGTTTGGGGGAGACATGGAACCATAGAAACTTACAGCACAGAAGAAGGCCATTCAGCTCATTGTGTGCTAGCTCTTTAAAGAGCAATCCTTTCAGTCTCGTTCACCTGCCCTTCCCCATATCCCTGTATCTTACCCTTTTTTAAGGTATTTATCTGGTTTCCCTTTTGAAGGCTAATATGGATTCTGCCTCAACCAATGCTCCTGGCAAGACATTTCATATCCTAACAACTCTGTGTGTGAAACAAATTCTCCTAACCTTCCCATTTGCTTGTTTGCTAATTATCTTGAATTGACGCCCTCGTCTATTCACTCACATACGGTTACTGGAAAGAGCCCCCACTTAATGAAGAAATCCTATTAAGAAAGCCCCAAATTGGACCCTCATTCCCTCCAATCATCACAATACTATATAGTGAGATGATCATTGATAAGGGACACCATCTGCTGATCTGCAGTGTGTGAGCAAATCTAGGGTTTAATAAAGGAGATTGTATTTCTTGGTAACAATTTTACTACACGACATGTCATTACCATGAAATAAAACCACCATCAACAATCATTAGACCGCCCACAGTCTAGGAACATATCAAGACATGAATGAAAAGTCACTAAGAAATTTCAGAGATTTCTCTCACCACGTCCCAAAAGAACCAGCTGTTCATTTCTGGTCACACAACGGAACGTCAGTATTAGCTGTTGTCTGAAGAAAGGAATCCACAGACGGAGTGTTTTATAAAAGAAATTGAAGGGGATTGTCAGCCAGGAAATGCAGAGCTGGATCAGAAATTAATTCATGTTTTGAGCATAAGAATTCAATCACAAAACTTTTAAGGATCATCGCAAGATCCCACTCTGGATATGTTGGAAGTCTATTTCATGGTATTACAGATAGGCTTGCTGGTTTCCGATCTCCTCCATCACCCACCCATCACCACCCACCAACCCCATCATTCTTAAATCCCACCTTAAAAACCTACTTGATCGACCGCGCCTCTTGTCACCTCCCTCACCACCCCCACTCTAACTTGCTTAGCATCTGTCTTCGCCACTGCAAAAGCGATCCGAGACATTATCCTACACAAAGGAAGCTGTATAAATGCAAGTTTCTGTTGTTGTTGTTGCTGCCGCTGCTATAGCAGAGCCTTTAAAAAAGGCTGGCTTTCGTTGCACACCTGCAGACTTTTAACACATATAATACTTTTTTTATATACTGTTTTTTAACACATTATTGCCGAAACTTTACATTATATCTGAAGTGAAACACTTACCCTGCTGGCAACAACTAGCTGTACAAGCCCCGCTGCTGAACGAAGTAGAGAGACTGCCTCCTGGTGAGAAAGTCCAACCAGCGACTGACCATTAATCATGAGTAGCTCGTCCCCAGATTTAAGTCTTCCATCCCTGATAGGACAAAGGAGTACAACTATTGTCATAGCGCTAGGACCTCTGCCACACAAACAGCACACAGTATGCACCATTGGAACTAAAACCATTTGGAACTAAAAGACCCCACCTATGGTATTAATTCCACACGAATGGTTAAGCAACATTGTCTCCCCCCTCCCCCCCACCACCACATACACACACACCAACACCAGTAACTGTAATCTTAAAGGACTAGGTACATGATTCGAACATTAAGTTATTTCCTTTCAGGGTTTTGCAGAGAAGAATTTAGAAAAAAAGTAACTCTCTTTTGCGTTCGCGGACCGCAATAACAATATTTTATCCTGATTGGCCAGTCCCCTTGCCGCACAGAGCCTGAGACCCTGGTGACCATCTCCTGACTGGCTCGGGGCCCCTGTGTGTCACCTTCTTTTCTCATCAGGCAATGTAGTTGGAAATCGTTTGTGGATAAAATCATCCCCCCGGCCGCCAGTTGGACCACACTGCTTTAAACTGACGTGCACTCTGGATACAAGTGATGGATCTTGGGACCTACTGGAACCAGAACCTACAAAACATTCTTCAACCAGCAAATGGAACAACACCTCAGCCAAATGTTAACATCGTCAAAGTGATAGGATTTGTTACCACTTTGATGTATGTTCCATCGCCAATACCGACACTGGCAGCAAGGCACTTTGCGGTGTTGTTGCTACCATTATTTTGGGCCGTGAGATTATTTTTTTGAAACCCACACAGTTGGGTAATGATCAGCCTTGTGGGACTTGGCACCAAACCTGAATCAGTTGGCAACCGTAAGCAGTGGGTGTGTATGTCGGCAGCAACAGAAGGAAGCTAGTCAAAACAAGGCTTGGGATTAGTATGAACCTTATAGGGGTGTGGTGGGCATAGTAAAGCCAGGGTTTGGAAAGAGCTAATCAGGATCGTTTTGAACTTTATAACCAAACCCATTATTTACTGCTTGGCTCCGAGTACTTTCTCTGGGTGTTGGTGCCTCTTCATTCCCATGGTTGAAGCTAAGAATCTCAGATCACTGGCTATTTGTGCTGCCTTTCGCAGGTCTCCCATTACTGCTTTCTTTACGGCTAAGAAAAGTAGAAGAGGAATCAGGGCGATCAATGTACGTTTGCTGATTGACTTGATATTTGAACTGAGAGCAATTGTCTCCGCAGATTGTTTTTAGTGACTGGAAGCCAATTCAGCAATCATCCACAGCACTTGGCTCCCAGAGGTAGGAAAAAGCGCAGTTGAAGCCACAGTTGGTTCTGGCTGTCTGCCTGCTCGGTGCAGTGAGGAATAGGGACGAGCACAGAGCACAAATCCTGAACCCAAATCAATCTAATTCGCTTCAATTAGAATTGAATCTGCAGAATCCAGATTATAGCCAAAGCAAGAGACTTCGCATCAATCTGCTCAGTGCAGGAAAATGCTGCTAATCACGTGCACAATGTGCGACTTCTTGTATTTTGCAAACACACACACTGTTTTGCTTGGGGATTTGGTGAAGGAAAGAGAGAGAGACATTGTTTCAAGAGGGCTTTTGTTAACATTTTGTCATGTCAGAGTTACGATAGTTTGTGATGGAAAAAAGGAGTTGTTCCTTTGCTGTTTTGCAATGAAAATTACATTTGGATAAAGCTACCCTTTGGTCACTTGGTTTATTCACAGGCAAGACAAGAATCCTTTGTAGAGCTCATGGCTTCGGAAACCCTGTTTACGAGCTCTAGAAGCATAGCGTGGGGCAGATTTCCAACCCTGAAAAGCACACACTACCAAAGTGTTCCTGTTATAATTCTTCCTTTGCTGTCCTTGCTAGGAGCTCCGAGGAGCAAGTCCCTGGAGAATGAAAAAGTAACTTGCTACAAGTGTTTTGCAGAGGCTGATGCTGAAACTGCCAAAACAACAACGACAACTTGCATTTATATAGCGCCCTTCATGTAGGACAGCATCTCGGAGTGCTTAGTACAAAGCTGCCCTCTGCCAAATAGAAAAGGCAAATGATCCGATCAGGAATAAGAACATATTAAAAGACTTGGCTATCTAAAGGAGCCAGGCACAAGCAGGAAGTGATGTGATCTTAAATCAGCTTTAAAGAGATTCATGGAACAAAGATCTACTTGTATGACTCTTCTGTAAGGTGGTTCAGCCTTGCAGGGTCAGCAGCAAATCTGTTCAGTTTCGAACCAACATGATACAAATTTGATTCACGCATGAAGGAAGAGGGGAACAGAGGCATATGGGAGAGGGGCTAGGAGTGGGTGGGCTCCTGTAGAACACAAACATCGACGTGGACTAACTAGGCTGAACGGAGGGTGGAATGTATTCCTTAACCCATTCCCTATGTTAATTAACCCAAGGGCCAGGTTAAGGAATATTGCAAACCTTACCTAATTAATCACTTAACAATGTCAGAACTTTAGTGCAAAAAAAGTATCGTCACTTCACTAGCTCCTGTTTCTCTTTCCTGGATTTTGAATGAGAAATGTGGCAAATAATAATAATAATCCTTGCATTTGATATAGCGCCCTATCAGGTCTTCAAGACATCTCAAAGTGCTTTACAGAATATACTGTATTCTGACAAAAGGTCATAGACCTGAAACATTAACTCATTTTCCTCTCTCTATGGATGCTGCATGTTCCCAGCGACTTCTGTGTTTATACCAGATTTACAGCATCTGCAGTACTTTGCCTTTTGTTTGGGACGTCCTCTCGACCTGAAAGGCGCTATACAAATGTAATCTTGTTGTTGCTGTTGTTGTTTTGTTTGACTGTATGTATTTCACAGTGGGTGAAATGTGGCAGCCAATTGCACACAGCAGTGTCCCACAAACAGTCGTGCATTGAGTGACCAAATTATTATTATTTATTTTTTGAAGGGATTATTACCCCCGGAAAGCGACCCCCCCAATCGACTAACAACCCGGTTCCTGCTTACTGCTAGGTAAACAGAGGGGTGTGGAGTAAGGAAACTTGCGTAAGGTTTAACACGAATAACACAGTGGACTCACATTGCACCCAGTGAAAGGTATCAGCCAGCTAATGTGTATGTATTTACCTGTGCGCTGAGCCTCCTTCCTCCACGTGTGTAACAATGATGCCGTGCGGTGAACGCTTGGATCCACGGCCTCCTGTGATCTGGATCCCAAGCCCATCCGCACCCTTCACCATGTGCATCTTCCATATTTGGCAACCTTCCTGCTGGAGGAGGGGAAAATGAGCAAGGTCAGAGCAGGTGACAAAGGAAAATACTAAAGGATTTTATTAATGTGTAAGTGGGTGTCAGGGCAAAAGGGAAATTGAGGGGTATCCTCACCCACACCAAACTCTGTACTTTAATCACCCCAGTTCTTGCCAGGCTCCACTGCCTGTCTGTTGCAGAACAGATCAATTTCAAGATCCTCACACTCACTTCCTTGTTAATTCATGCCCTCATACCTCCCTATCCCTCAAACCTGATCACACCCCAATCCTCGATTCGCCCCTTTGCTCAGCCAGCTCGGGCCTTCTACACGTCCCTTGTACCCCTCTGCTCCATTGGCTTTCAGCATTTTGCCCAGAAACTCTGCAACTCCCTACATCAATCAGTCCATTTTGCCCCCTCTTTCAGAGGTCTTCAGATGTCACCTGAAGAACTTCCTCTTCAACTTTGACTACGGTCACCTCCCTGGCTCGGCATCAAGCACAGCCACTTTTAACTCCTCAGAGGGTCTACTCCATGTGAAGGGCATTGTATAAATGCAAGCTGTTTTTGTATTGGGGAGGCTAGGGATGGTGATATTTCGAAGACGTGATTAGGCGCTTTATCAAATGCAAGAATTATTATTATTATTACATAATTATGGTGGGTGGAGGCACATGTGAACTATGTACACCAGTACTGACTAGTTGGACTGGATGTCCTGTTTTAGTTGTGTAGATTCTGTGTAAGATTGTAAGCAATTTCAGGTTGATATAGACAGACTAGTAGACTGGGCAGAGAGATGGCAGGTGAAATTTAATAGGAAACAAGAAAACCTCTGAACCTGTATATTCTGGGAGGAAAAAATGGAAAACAATTGCATTGAAATGGTAACAATAATAATAATAATAATAATCCTTGCATTTGATATAGCGCTTTTCACGTCGGGAGGACGTCCCAAAGCACTTCACAGAACACACTGTAAAGTGAATTGACTGTATATTTGTGGGCGAACGCGGCAGCCAATTGCGCACAGCAATGTCCCACAAACAGTCGTAGATTGAAAATGACCAATTTATCATTGTTTTTGGAGGGATTATTATTAGGCTCTGTGTGGAGTAAGGAAACTTGCCCAAGGTTTCGCCCTCTGCCTGGAATTGAACTCAGGTCTCCCGCTTGCAAAGCGAGTGCTCTAACCACTGAGCTACAGGACTCCACAAGTGGAGAAGCAGAGAATCTAGGGATTAATATACATTAAAAATGGGAAGTTAGGTGGGCAAATCTGTGAATAAAGTTAATGGGATTCTGTTTTATAAATTGTGGTATAGAATATAAAATCAAAGCTTAGCTAGTATAAATTGTTAATTAGACTGCAGTTATACCTTGGGATGTCCTCCCGATGTGAAAGGCGCTTACAAATGTAATTTTGTATTTGGTATTGGATACTATTGAAGATAGTTACCCAGTGTAGGAAGGATGTCAGGGCCTTAACAACAACAACAAGATTCCATTTATATAGCGCCTTTCACGTCGGGAGGACGTCCCAAGGCGCTGTACAGTTGGGTCAGGATCCGAGCATTGGGGGGAAATGGTCAGGGTGAGGGGAGGGAAGGGAGGGAGCGAAGAGGGGGTAGAGAGTCGAGAGGGGAGCTGAAGGCACGGTCAAAGAGAAAGGTCTTGAGACCGACCTTGAAGGAGGAAAGGGAGGAGGCGGCGAAGGCACTGGGGGATAGAGTTCCAGAGCCTAGGGGCTGAGAGGCTGAAGGCCCGGCCACCGATAGTAGGGCGGTTGGGGCGGGGGATGTGGAGCAGACCGGAGCCAGAGGAACGGAGGGTACGGGCGGGTAGGTAGGGGCAGAGTAGGTCGGAGAGGTAGGAGGGAGCGAGGCCGTGAATGGCCTTGTAGGTGAGGGTGAGGATCTTGAATTCGATCCTCTGGTGGATGGGGAGCCAGTGGAGGCGAGCGAGGGTGGGAGTGATGTGTTCCCGAAGTCTGGTGCGGGACAGTACACGAGCTGCAGAGTTCTGAATGACCTGCAGCTTGTGGAGGGAGGTGGCGGGAAGGCCGGCGAGGAGAGAGTTCCCATAGTCCAGCCTTGAGGTGACAAAGGCGTGGACCAGGGTTTCAGCAACGTGAGGGGTGAGGTAGTGCCATAGTCTGGCGATGTTCCGGAGGTGATGGAAGGCGGTGCCAGTTGTGGCGCGGATATGAGGGAGAAAGGACAGCTCAGGGTCGAACAGAACCCCAAGGTTCCTGACCGGCTTTGAGAGGTGGAGAGTGCAGCCTTGGATGCTGATGCTGTCAGCGCCTGAGGTGTGGAGGCGCTGACGTGAGCCAATCAGGAGGGCCTCAGTTTTGCGCACGTTGAGCTGGAGAAAGTTGTTTCTCGTCCAGGACTCGATGTCAGACAGGCAGCTGTCAGGACATCGGTGGTCGTGGAGTTGAGGGTAGAGGAGGAAAGGTAGAGTTGGGTGTCATCCGCATACATGTGGAAGTTAACCCCATGTCTGCGGATGATGTCACCGAGGGGGAGCATATAGAGGGTGAAGAGGAGATTTACTGGGGTGGTATTGGGAGTGAGTGGTTTGACCTATGAGCAGAGACTAGAGGAACTGGGACTATATTTACTGTAACAGGGAAGGTTGATGGGAGACCTGATAGACATCTTTAAAATGATGTGGGGTTTCAATAGAGTAGATAGGGAAAAACCATTCCCACTGTCCCGTCAGTCAGTGACTGGAGGGTATCAATTTAAGATAATTAGCAATGGGAGGGAAACAGGATTTTTTGGCCCCATGCAGAGGTTTTAGGGTATGAAATGTTATGCATTGGTTGAGGTGGAAGCCATATTTGCTTTCCAAAAAGAAATAGATTGATATCCAAAAAAGAAGCAATTAGTAAAGGTATGCAGAAAAGGCAAGTAAATGGGACTGAATGGATTGTTCTTTAAAAGATCTGGCATAGATATGGGACTGAATGGCCTTCTTCTGTGCTGTAAAGTTCTATGTGCACAAATCGATGTAAGGAGAAGCCACTTTCCTTAAACACAAAATGTATCATGCATGCTGTTTGCGCTTCCCAGTTACATACTCAAGCACCTAGCTGATGGGATCTATCATGATACAGCCAACATCAACAATTTAACATTTATACAGTACTCCTTTTGCAGGGTAGAGGCCCAGAGAACTTGTCAGTGGCGGAGCATGATGCCAAACCAGGTGGGGGAGAGGATGGATACACAGAATGGATGTGCAAGTCCGCAGTGTCAACACGGAGCAGAATTAGAGAAAGATTTAGACATGGAGGGATTTCTGTTAGCAAGATACCACTTAGACTTGGAATAGATCTTGAATTCCGATATCAGTGGAACAAACAGGAGTAAGAAATAACCCATCTGGGGGAATGTCTGGAATGTCTGCACTCCGTTCATTTTGGTTTAGTCAGTAATCTTACTGGACATCAGCTCCTGATAATGCAGGGCCAAGATTTCACAACTCAAGCACGTTACAATCTTACGAATATTACTCAGTCTTCATCAAGATATGAAATATCACAGTTTTGAAGTCCTCTGAGACTATAGCAAATGTTGAAGAATTTGAACTGTTTTTCCACAAAAGAAACAATTCACTTCTATATCTAATTGATATATATGTATATACAAAAAAAAACTGTTCTAGTTCTAGTGCAGTATTTGAAGAATGGAATTAAGTGCATTCAACCCACAGGAACTCCCTTGAAAGATGTAAATCTTTGGCAGTCCATCCACCAGCTGAATAACAATGATAGCAATTGCACTGCAGAAAAATCTCTTTCCCTCTCTCGCGCTCTCTCTCTGCCAATCGACTAACAACCAGGTTCCTACTTAATGCCAGGTAAACGAGGCGTATGAAGTAAAAAAACTTGCCTAAGGTTCGCCCTGCCTGGGAATTGAATCCAGGTCCTCTCGCTTGCGAGGCGAGTGTTCTAACCAATATGCTACAAGACTCCACTCCTTTTGCACAAATATCATCAATGTTGCTAGGGTTTGACTCCCAAACTGCATCAGAATATAAAAGGTACCAAATACACTGTCAGACGCAACTCGTGCAGCAAAGAAAGGGCTCATATCCTACAGGCTGTTCTGGAGTCAGCGTACAGTAGCAGTAATAATAATATAATAATAATAATCCTTGCATTTGATATAGCGCTTTTCACGTCTGGAGGACGTCCCAAAGTGCTTCACAGAACACACTGTAAAGTGAATTGACTGTATATTTGTGGGCGAACGCAGCAGCCAATTGCGCACAGCAATGTCCCACAAACAGTCGTAGATTGAAAATGACCAATTTATTATTGTTTTTGGAGGGATTATTATTAGGCTCTGTGTGGAGTAAGGAAACTTGCCCAAGGTTTCGCCCTCTGCCTGGAATTGAACTCCGGTCTCTCGCTTGCAAAGCGAGTGCTCTAACCACTGAGCTACAGGACTCCACTCCAGTAAGCAGGAACCAGGTTGTTAGTCGATTGGGGGGGGGTCGCTTTCCGGGGGTAATAATTGATCATAACCAAAGAGTGGTTATGATCTGGAATGCACTGCCTGAAAGGATGGTGGAAGCAGATTCGGTAGTAGATTTCAAAAGGGAATTGGATAGGTATTTGAAAACAAATAAGTCGCATGGCCATGGGGTAAGAGTGTACAATGTGTTCCGATGATACTGCAAGTCCACACTTGCCTCCGGTGCAGTTTCAAAATATACTTCAGAAACTACTAGAATTTTAATTCTGTTGCTACAGTGTACTCTACACAGCCCAGGGCCTCAGTGACACTATGCTCTACACAACTCAGAGCTCCACTACACCTCACACTATACACCCTAGAACATAACACTGCACACTTCAGAGCCATGAACACACAATTAAAGTATTGGAGATTCTGGGTCTAGTTTGTGAGAGACGATGATCTTCTCACATGAACTTGTGGGCACACCTAGTAATGAGGAAACGTTTTGAGTGACCTTTGAAATTGTAATACTTCAATTCTCT